AGGACACGGCTATGTCACTAACTGTCTCACCGATATGGGTATGCAATTGGGAAGGGTAGTCCTTTCGCGGTGTCTCATGCCCATACCGCCAGCAGCCACTCTCCCTGGCAGGCGAAGATGTGCGCGAGAGAGAGACTGTTGAGGACCGAGTCGGAAATCACCGTGGTTGCTACATTTGTATGATGTTCGGTACACACTGCCGTTACACCGATCGTCACACCAGATCGGGCGCGTCGGTTACGCATGTCAGACTGACTAAATCAAACCGAAGGATCCCAGCAGTCCGGCGACCCCTGACATGTCTCCACAGGCCGCCGTGTGTCATCCGGCGTATGCGATTTGGTCACATACATTCTTTGTCCATAGATCAATCGATATCATGACGAGCAGGTTCGCAAACAATACATCATGATAAAATTCTAAGCTACCCCCTGCCTAATCGAAAACAAGGGGAGACAGCGGTCGCGCAACCCAAGGCACGGGCAAGCCAAATTGTAAAACGCGTCAACAAGAGTGTGCAACACCAAAAGCGCACCGTCTGGACTCCCCCACTCCTCCCTATGTCGGGTCCTTGCGGATGAATCGGCCTCGTGATGTCCACATGCGCTTCCGCAACTCGCATCATGGATGGGGCCATCCTTCGTCGAGAACCGGTAATCTCGGAGACCTGCACACACGTGCTCCTTCTAACACTCGCCGAACGTCTCCCCAGTATGCAATTCGAGAATGTGCGCTTCGTAACCTCTCTGTATCGTCGTCGTCATCGCATCTACTGAACCTGGCTGACAATCTCGCTGGCCCGCGCGAGGGACTCGACCATTTGCTGGCACTCCTTTCTCCGGCGCACGGTGAAGTCGCTTTCCTTGAGCAGGTCGTCGAGAGTATCGCTGCGGTACATATTCTCCAGGAGCTCCTTTTGCATCTCATCCTTGGTAAACCTATTCACATGTCAGCAAAGTTTTGATATCATAACGGGCGGGGCTACGTACTGAACAAGATTGAGCATGATAGCCTTGGGAACCATGTCGATCATGGTACGCTTCGTAATGTTGAAGTAAGATGAGATAAGCAGCTCTAAGGGTGATGGTTAATCGACTGATGATAGACTTTCCTTCCACTTGTGGCAAACTTACTGATGACCTCGACCTCAATGTTCTCGCGCTCAGAAAGCATGCCAGAGGCCTTGAGCGTAGGGGGAGGGGCCTCCATCGCGGCCGCCTTCTTCTTGTTCTTCGCTGCGAAGAAACTGCCGAAGAAACCACCGTTGGCGTCGCTTTCAGGCACGGTTGGGGACTGAGCCCTGGGTGTTCCGCCGGGCAGAGGCTTGCCGGTCTTGGGGTCGACCTGCACAGGCTTGGCGGGGTTGTACCGCTCATTGACGATTGCCATGGCACGGTGGCCGTTGAGGAAATCAGGGTGTCCAGTGTTGACATAGCAAGCCTCCATGCTGACAAGATCCTTGACAAGCTTGTTCGTGGGAGTCATTGCCTTCTTGAAGAAACCGATGACGACAGCGTGCATCTTCTCCTTGAGTTGGGGATACCTCCTGTAAAGAGTTTTGCCAAGAAGCTGTGAAAGAATGCGAACCAACTCGTCATAGACGAGCGACACGCACTTCAGGCTAGGGTCTTCCAGTCGCTTGATCTGCTGCTTGACGATCAGCTCAAAGGCGGTCGTGCCTACAAAGAGTGCCGGCGAAGAGCCCGAGGAGTTGTAAAGGATAGTGCGGATATCGACATCCTTGACGACATCAAACGGATCGACGGCCTTGACACCATTGGAGTACAGTTCGTGAAACACAAAGCTGATACGGGCACCACCCGACAGCTCTGTGCTCGACAGCTCCGTGTTGTTGCCGTCCAAAACCGTACGCCATTCGTTCGTAAACTCGGTGATAATGTTCAGAACAATATTGCCGCTGTTGCCAAGCATGCTAGGGCCCAGGCTGTCCAGCTCCGAGGTGTACTTCTGTAGAGAGCTGGAAATGCGAGCCTTGATGTCAGGAAGCGTTTGCTTGATATGCATCATAAGGATGAGGTTAAGCTTTTTCGCCAGGTACGGTGTACCGCAGTAGGAGCTCTTGTTGCGGTATGACTTGTGGTTCTCGAAGAAGTTCTTCTCAGCCTCGAGGGCGCTCGTGATGGCCTTCTTGTTGTCGATGTCGCGCTGTCCTCGGTTGACGACAGGGACGTAGCCGAGACGCAGGGGGATGATGCGACCCGCCAGAATGTCTACAACATCGGTTCCGTCGTCCATCAAATCAATCTTGGTCAAGACGCCGATAGTTCTTTGGCCCTCGGGGTCCACCTCCCTCGCCATCTTGAGACCGTCAGAGTTTGCCAGATCGATGTTGGCTGAGGTTACAGCAAGGACGATGGCGTTTGGCTTCGAGATGTACTTGAGCACCATGTCGCGAATCTGCCTCTCGATATCCCTGGGCTGGTCACCAACAGGAACTTTGGTCAAGCCAGGCAAATCAACAAGAGTCAAGGTAAGGACATTGGGAGAGTAGACACGCAGGTTGATCGGCGCCGCCGAGATGCCGGCATTTCGGCCAACCTTTGCATCAGTCTCCCTGCTGATTTCGTCGCGGATCTTGTTGAAGTCGAAGAACTTCTGGCCTGGGATGTGGAGGAACTCGCCCCACTCGTCGTTGTTGGCGGCCTTGTCGGAGCTGTTGGCGACCTCGTCGTTGACGCCGTTGGAGGCTTGTGCCGGTCGGTTGATGAGCTGGAGGACAAGCGGTCGTCGTGTGCAAATACCAGCACCTCGCGGCAGGCTGGTGGTGGTGGGGTCAGCGTCAGAACCACATGAGCAGGGACAAGGAGGGGTAAGGAGAAAGGGGCTTACAAGTCGCGACCAACGATGTTCTCTAGCACGGAACTCTTTCCACTGGACTGGCTGCCGACAACAGCGATCTGGGGAAGGTCGATGGGATTGTTGACACCAACTGTCGAAAATACATCCTGGAGCTTGTTGACCAGTCTACATGCCTTATTAGCTGCCTGCATCCAAACGTGTAGCGGAGGATGGAACAAGCGTACGTGATGAGAGCAGGATCGGAAATACCGCCGTGGGCGCTGGCGACATGAGCGTTGGCCGCCATGATGGATGTCGTGTGGTTTTGTAAAATATGGACGTGAGGTGTGGTGATTCTGGCGATGGGCTCGTCGGCCGTCTCTGGAGTGACGGTGAGGGTGGCTCGTGTCGCAGATGGTTGCTGAAGCGTGACTTGAGAAGGACTTGGGTGATGCGGTGAATGTTGTTGGAGCGACTTGGCGGGTCTATCCGTCTCGATGGATGTTCGCAACAGCTGGCGCAACGAAAGCTGGTGGTCAGCAAAGATGCGAGTGCTCGAAGGTTCTCTCCTCGAAGCGTCGTTGTTGGGTTGGGGCTTTGGGAGACATTCACAAGCCTGACCGGGGCAACAAATCCACCTCGACTTACGACGTCGCTGGCCAGAGCAGGGGCGCTAGCCACGTGTGGCTCGAGCTCAGCCTTCTGGTTGCCAGCCTGAGCGTGGATTGCGCTGGATTGCCTAGTGCGAGGCGATTCCCCTACGAGACCCTCCCACATGATTGGCGATATGTGCTTACTCATCGCTTCAAGGCAGTCGCACCGCCAATCGAAGTTGCTTAAATTCAGGTGCCTAAGTCGGACAATTGTTGATTGATGTTGTCGTCATCAGAGTCGTCACTAATGGGGTTATGTATCATGTTTGTTCAAGTAGGTAGGTAGGCAGCAACCTTTGTACAAGGAGTTGTTGCCGAGTGGAGGCATTCTTAGAGTTTACATGTAGCGAGGAAGCCGGTGTGGCGGCAGGACAGTACGAGGTGCTGTTTGAGCGTGTTTGACTAAGTGAAGTACCTTTTCTTGAACTTGAACCGAGCGCTGGAAGGGCACCCTGGAATAGAACACCCTCATCTGTTGTGCAGTCAGTGACTGGTTCTGGCCTAAGAAACCTTTGACACGGCATAGCTCGTTAGGCTTGTGCTAGGCTTTTACTGGCCTCTATGCGGCCCCAAGACATATGCAAGGCTTCTCTCATGACACATTTCGAACACTCCAAGAGAGGTGACAACACAAGCCACCTCTCTTTCTAGCAGTCGTGACCCACTCACGCACTTGAAGCATTTTGAGAGCTCTGGCCCGAATGGACCGAATGGAGCGAGTATCAGGCAGGCGTTCAGGTGGGAGGCACCTGACTTGTTACTAACTGGTGTTGGCGGAGAGAGCACGCCAGCAGCAGCAGCAGCAGCGCCCTGATAAGATCAAGCAGCACATACCCCACAGTGGAGCGGAGCCTGCGGAATCCCTGCGTCGGCCACCTGGTTGGTGCTGGTGCCATGATGACGTCCAATCAAGGTCGCCTGCTGTCATGTGCTCACCTCTTGCAGCATTGCTTCTCCAAGCCAAAACGCACCTGGCTGCCCAGTACGTACCTGGTCGATGGTGACCTACCTACCTGCACCTTAACCTCACCCGGTCCCAACCATTGTCGCCGTCACTCAAGCATACCACGAATACCAACGAGCGCCAGAGACTCCCTCTTACATGCTACCGTGTTACTTTCTTGACGGGAGTCGCCTTATTCCTTAGACAAGCTCTTGCTCATTCCACCGCGGGATCATTCCCGCGGTGAACGGCAGGTCGTCGACCTCACGCTGGACTCCCATCCTCATTCCCCTCCCCATTCCAATCCCGATCCCAACTCCGACGGCCCATCTACCTCGCCAAATCCTCGACACATCGCCGAACCCGTCTCCTCTGCCCCCAATCCAGACCAGCTTCACCAGTCCCCGCCATCAACGTACACCATCGACAGCCGTGAACACCCATCTTCGAGCTCCCATCCTCGCGCCAGTACCCATACGATAGCATCGAACCAGCCACGCCAGGCCCTCGGCCGGAGACAACGCAGCGATTCAGACCAGGAACATACGGACTTGGTCGGAGGTACCCCAAATCGGAGCTCTCGTTACAAGCGCCACCGGACCGACATGCCAGCTGATGACGATGCTCGTACCTCGAACGGGACGTCGAGGCCTAGCCATAATGGTGCTTCCACTGCTGAAACCACGACATCCTCGGCTAACGGCATATACAAAGCGGCGATAGCGACAAATGGCTCTTCAGCTGCCTCTCGTTTGGCCTCCTCCTCATACCATGGCCATGACAAGGAGGAGGTCACTCGCATCCTCATACAGACCTTGGCGGACATGGGATATCAGTCCGCTGCCGAGTCTTTGAGTCACGACAGCGGCTTTCAGCTTGAGAGCAAAACTGTTGGAAGCTTTCGAACTGCTATCATTGATGGGGTGTGGGATGTGGCCGAAGAACTACTCTCTGGGGCTGCTGCCTCCGGTGACAGGGGCCAGCAGGGCAATGGTTTGGTTCTTGCTTCAGGATCCAACCCAAGCCTCATGCGATTTTGGATACGACAACAGAAGTTTTTGGAGTTACTGGAAAGCAAGCACATTAGTCAAGCTCTTGTGGTTCTGAGGACGGAGCTTACGCCATTATACCAGGACACTCAGAAGCTCCACATGTTGTCTAGTCTACTCATGTGCACCTCGACCGAAGATCTGCGGTCGAAATCCGGCTGGGACGGCTCACGGGGGAATTCAAGACGTGAGCTGCTTTCAGAACTATCCAGTGAGTCCCTTGCCAACCCGGCAGTTTCCGTGTGTTGATCGAAGAGCAGAATGTATATCACCGTCCGTTATGCTACCTCAAAATCGCCTGGCTGTCCTTCTGGACCAGGTGAAGCAGAGTCAGATCGATAGCTGTCTCTGGCACACCAGCGCATCCTCGCCATCTCTCTACTCCGACCACACTTGTGACCGCACTCACTTCCCCAACGAGACTGCACTGCAACTCACTGATCTGACGGGTGAGGTTTGGGGTGTTCAGTTTTCCAATGACGGACGGAAACTGGCTGGATTTGGATCTAATGACACAGTTATGATTTGGGAAGTCCCCTCTTTCAACGTTGTCCGGACACTAGGGGACCATGTCGATGGCTGCGCGAATCTGGCATGGAGTCCGGATGACTCCATGATAGTAACATGCGGTCGCGATAAGCATGCACGGCTGTGGGATACCAAGGTGGGCTCTTGGTCCTCGTATCCCGTTCCACTCACTAACGACAACAATAGTCCGGCCACCTCCTAAAGAAGATTGGCCGCCTCGCAGAGCCTGTCAGCGGGTGCGTCTGGGCGCCGGACGGCCAAAGCTTCGTGGTCAGTTCACTGGACAAGGAGCACAGTATACAGTCCTGGAGCGTAGACGGAGAGCTCATATGCGACTGGGCAAAGAAGCACAGGGTCCAAGATGTCTGTGGATCCGCCGACGGCCACTGGCTTGTCGCCGTAGACGACTCGCAGTCGATTCATATCTACAACGCTGTGACGCGAAAGCTTGAATGCACTATGAAGCTCGATTCTAGGCCAACCTCGGTTAGCATCAGTGTGGATTCGAGGCATCTGCTGGTCAACAAACAAAACGACGAGGCGCAGCTGATCGATCTGATCGCTCGGAAACCTGTACAGAAATTCATCGGACACACAGGCGGCGCCTGTTTGATTCGGAGTGCTTTTGGCGGTGCGAACGAGAGTTTCGTCGTCAGCGGCAGCGAAGGTTTGTGACACTTGAGTCTCGCCAGTCACCCCTACTAACCGGACTCTCCAGACGGCAGCATACTTATCTGGCACAAGAACAGCGGAGTGGCCGTGGAAAGGCTGCAGGGCCACTCTCCTCGGACAAATGCTGTTGTGTGGAATCCGACAGATCCGTGCATGATTGCGTCCTGTGGTGACGAAGGCGTTATAAAGATGTGAGCAGAACTGATTGATTTCTGCTATTAACTGTCACTAACATGGCACAGATGGTCCAACAAAGCGAAGGGGGCGACACTTCGGTCAATTCGCGGGGGGGCGGATCTTTAGTTATAGAGGCATCCTAGGCGCAATGCGATTGTTTCGGGCTCAAAGACTCAATACAGAATTCTATCGATAATGATGCCATCCAGCGTGCGGTCCAAGCTCCTATGTTTATGATGAAATGTTCACAGGAACATCCAGAGAAGAGTACCCATTCCGCTAGCGAGCATTGCAGGGCCAAAGGTGGCGGCACCTGAGCTGTTCGTCGATGTCGCTGGATCGTTGTTCGTGTGCGCCTCGCTGTCGCTGCCACCATGTTCGGTCGAGGTTCCCGTAGCATTGGTCACCGGAGAGCTCGCGCCGTCGATGAGCAGCGACGAGACGGCAGCCAGCACGTTCAGGGCCTCGCCAGCACCAGTCGTGCCATCCGCTTCCGGTTCGACGTACTCGCCGAGTGACCAATAGAAGCCGCATGCACGTCCCGAATCGCCACCAGTGCACTGCTCAACGGCGGCTTGCGCCGACTTTTGCAGCACGGGCAGGATGAGCTGGCTTGTAGAGGGGACGAGCTGGGTGACGACAGCCAGGAGTCGATGCGCATAGCCCTTGTACGCAATCATGTCGCCAGTGCAGCGACCCTTGGCGGCCTCGCAGGGGACCTCGTAAGCGACGTCTTCGGGGAAGAAGTCCTGGAGGAATCGCCCCACGAGCTCGTTCGTACGCTCAAGCCACTTCTCCTCCTGGGTGTGGTTGTAGATGAAGGCAGCCCCCTGCGTCAGGAAAGCAATGTTCGTGGAAAAGGTGGCCTTGTTCACATCGGTACAGTTTTGCTCAGAGTGCGCACCATCGTACGCTCGCCAGGTCTTGTGGTCAATGTATTCCAAAGCCCAAAGCCAATCCCAGGTCGCCTCGGCCTGGCGCAGGTAGGTGCTGTTACCGGTGTAGCGGGCGAGGCGCGCGCCCAGGTTGAAAAAGACGGCGTTGGAAACGGTATTCTTGTACTGGTAGCCAAGCTGTTCGGGGGAAACAGCCCAGGCCAGCCCTCCGCCGCACCGGTCATCGAGACGCTCAACCTGAATGTCCCAGACGGCTTGTGCCAAGGGCAGCCAACCTTCATTGTCAGGAGCGGGAAATTGATGTTCGGCAGCCAGCATAGCGGCCATGCCCCAGAAGCCTTGATCGTCGTTGACGAGGGTAGCAGTCTGGTTGGCCGGCATGTAGTTGCGGTCCTTTCCTGCCTGGTGGGCCAGGCCCTCGGCCACGACATCGTTGTAGGTCGCGTCACCAGTCAAGTGCCAATAGTCAACGAGGGTGCTCATCATTGTGGCTGCTTGGTACCAGTAGTAGTCACCCAGACCCTCAGATGGCGGTCCCGGCAGGAGGCCGGGGGTCTTGCCCGTGCTGTTGCCATCGTAAAAGCGCATCGCGTCGTACGCAAGGGTCTGGGCTGACTCGCGAATTTCATCTTTCACACTGTCAGCCAAGCCTCGAACCCCAACTCTGAAAGTGACTCAACGTACCATCTGTACCAACGGAATAGCCCTGCGCCAGGGCGGTGGCGAGGCATCCCAGGACGAGCAACGCCGAGGGGCGGCCACCGGTGGGCAGAGACGCAAACATGGCGATGACCGACGAAACGGGGAAAGCGAGCGGAATTAGCCTGCGGTTTCAAGGTTGCAGGCGATGGTTGCTGAGTAACAACAACGAACGAGTGGCGGCTCCTATTTCTTACACTAGGTGCCAATGTGTGGGTTGAGAGAAGACTTGCTACTCAGCATAAAGATAGGCGCCTCAAGTAGCTGGCATGGAGAAGAGACTGGCGGTTCAAGTATTGAGAACGACATCTTGCTGCCTATTCTGTGCCGCAAACAAACTTGCACTGCAGCGCCGAAGAACTTGGCGACAGGGTTGATGAAGGATCCTTCAGGTACGAAGGAAGCGAGATCTCAGGTGAGCTGTCCATGCAGACGCTGCGCGGCCATTGGCCAACGTCACGCGCCTCGGACCTGGTCCTCTGCAACAACATTGGCAAACCCAATTGATTGTTGAAGACAACCAAGCGCGGCATGCTGCAGACCTTGGATATGTTTTCGTATCATCAGAATACGAGATGAGAGGCTTGAGGTGTAGCACTCGCAGCAAGTGGTCGGGGTGGACCTCCACCGCCCGAAATTTCCGCGGGGAGCAGGCTAGCGAGCTTCCTTTTTCGTAACAGAGGGCACTGATATTTGAATTGCGACTGCCATGGAAGTTCAAAGGCTGAGCTGCCACGTTTGTTGTCCAAGGTACCTAGCATGTGAAGCAGATTGTACAACGAATACGACCTGAACTCGTTGTGTGGAGCCGTTGACGATAATTGAATCGCGCTTTCTCTGGTGTCAACATTGTTGAGGAGGACGAAGGACACCCATCAGCTGGGGAAGGATTGTAGGCACCGCCGAGACTTTGACGAAATGATGATGGTTGGAGTATGTCTAAGCATGCCAGCTCACCAGTTTTCCTTCCACTTAGATGACGACTTTCTCGACATTGCCAAGCCGCACCTCCAAACCAAAGTACCTAGCTTAGTCGCCTCAGCTGCCCAATATGTGTGCTTTGAGGGAGGGCAACCCATTCATTCTTTCAGCCGGCGGAAGGTTGGAACAAATATGGAATGAACCTGCTTCGTGGAGCTTGGTGTCAAGTAAGGTAAGGTTGAGGTACCATAGGTAGGTAGGCAGGAGCTTAGGTAGGTAGGCAGGTACCTAGGTAGGTAGCTAAGTACCTAGTCATCTATAAGGTAGCAACCATGACATTCATTCACTCTTGCCTCCGCAGGGCAGGCACAATGCAACTCACTTACCCGCGGGCATCTCTTTCTTCAGCATGTGTCCTCAGCTTTTGTGATTCAGAGCAAGCTTCAAGTGATGCCTTCCACTTCCATATTGAGGATCGGCTCCGCCTCTTAAATACATACCTTCCTCGGGCAAGACGACTCTATTGACCAGTACCCTAATCAAGTTCGGCCTTGGTGACCTTGATTATCTTTCAGTCACTCTACTAGACACCTTCGTTGGCGAGCTCACATTGAGGCAAAAGCTCCTGGTGTTGAGAGAGACAGTTTCCGGTCCTGATTACCTAGGTAGCAACAGAAGGTCATTCGAGAATGCCTACCTCTGCTGCCCATCCCTGCCTGCAGTGCAGTGCGACGTTCAAGAGCTGGAAGTCGTTGCAAACGCACCGTGAAGAGGAATATCAGAAGGATGGCTCTCACGTACATTGTGCCACCTGCGGCCTTACCTTTGGCTCGGTCATTGTCATGGTACACCATGTGAAACAGGTGAGTCTTCATCGTTGACGACCCAAGGCCCCCCTAGAACGTCCTTCAATGTTGACTCTACGGCATCAGGCCCACGGAAGGGAGCAGGACCTGAAATGCCCAGGATGCGAAGCCAGGTTCGCCCGAGCTGGTGGCCTCATGGGACACCTCGAGTATGAGGAATGCTCCGTCATCCCAAAGTCTGCTCTAGACGCATATCGCACAAAAAAACTTGCCATGCCCTTGGCCTTGGAGAAGCTCAGCCTGACCGAATCAGATTCTGACAAAGCCAACTTGAACGCTGGCAATGCACACAAATGGGTCCGACACCCTGCCGAGAACCAAGCCCCGGCTAACAGGCTTTCGTTTGCTCCTGATGCCTTCCCCATACTGCCAAGCCAGGCGAGCCAGGTCTCGCAGCCACAAGCCCAACGTCAGCAACCGGGCGGTCAAGGTCTCCCTGATGCGTGGGGACGACAGGAGAATATTTTTCCAAATGCGACGGCCGTACAGAGACCAACATCCGCACAACTGGCTGAGGCGACAAGACCCAATGCAAAATCAGAATACCTTGCAGCTATCCATGATCCGAACCATCAGGATTTCGATGCCGAGAAGTACTTCAATGACTTCAATAACCTATTTGAATGTCCAATGAAAGGATGTCCGCAGTCGTTTGATTCTGCCGTTGCGATCACGAACCATCTGGTGACCCGCGGTATGCACGGCACTGGTGACAGACTTCAATGCCCGGCGTGTCTTCGATTCTTCGTCGGTGTCACGGCCATGACCCAACATGCCGAGTCTCAGTCAACGCGCTGCAACATCCGAACATCGGCAAAGTATCGGCCGTTTCTGGCCCAGCTCACTGCCGGTGTCATGGACGCCGTAGGACAGCACTCCGACACGACCATCAAGTATGAGGTCACCAACGAGGCCCTTATTCAGTACGGCAAAGTAAGTCGCAGTCTCAACGCTGTCGCTAGTGTCCAGCCAGGCTCGATCAAGCTCTCTGAGCGTGCCGACTACTGGCGTACTCATGAGGTCAAAGATGCAGAATGGTAAATCGAGGACCCAAGTTTTGAGTGCACAGGGCCGACGAGATGCAGCTCCTCGGTAAGCAAACAAAGTGTTTCCCGCCCTTGGCCTCGGTAGGACCAACGACGCGTAGATAGCTTAAGCAGACAAATGAGAACCCCGTAGGAAAAGTTAAACACAATGCGCTGCAGTGTGATCATGCTGCTCGAGAATGAGAAGTGACGTCCACCACGCTAGCCAGCACGCGACGCGTGTCCCAGATTACTGGTACGACTTGACATCTGGCCCTCGAATTTGCACCGCCACAACCTGGCCTCGGTGTTGGTCAGCACCAGCCTCGCCCCCTGACCCTCTCTCAGGGACCCCTGATGCCCTGATTGTGATGGTATCAGATACCGAAGCTTCCATTGAAGGTCGGATCGTCCGCGTAGCCATCAACCATCCACCATCACCTACGGAGTTTCCGGCATTCGCTTTCTGACGACGCACAACATCTGCAGTGCCTCCATGCGACGATAAAACATTTTCTTTCCGCTTTCCTGTCCACGCTATGAGAGGCATCCTCCTTGCACTTCGCACTCCGTCCCCTGTCTGCTGATGGACTCTATTCGACCCGCATCACCAACACCCTTCACCATGGCTGGGATTCGTCGGTGGGCACGCAGGATCGAGCGCTGCTGCTGCACCTCCCTGACCTACTTCCCTCTCCTTTTCGTTTACGGCCTCACCACATGGGCCGTCTGGGTAGACGTCAACATTGGCTCTTCCCAATCCAAGGTTGCTTGGCTAGGTGCGTGGCAGCCCACCCCTCTATGTCCGTTCGATTTGATCCAACAGCACTGACCTACTGGTATAGGCAACGGCTCATCCTTCGTCGCGATCCTTATATATGGACTTCTCAACTGGTCCTACACAACTGCCGTCTTCACAAACCCTGGCAGCACCACCAACGACAATGGCTACGCCGAGTTACCAACCGAAGCCCCGCCAACCGCCACTTCCTTCACCGTCAAGTCCAATGGTGAAGTGCGTTTCTGCAAGAAATGCCAAGCCAGGAAACCCGATCGCGCCCATCACTGTTCTAGCTGCCGCAAGTGTGTTCTCAAGATGGATCACCACTGTCCTTGGCTGGCCACGTGCATCGGGTTGAAGAACCACAAAGCTTTCCTGTTGTTCCTGATCTATACGACAATCCTGTGTTTTTACTCCTTCGCCGTCTCTGGTAGCTGGGTCTACGTCGAGATTGTCAACAACACTACATACGTAGACACGCTGCTCCCCATCAACTTCATAATTCTGAGCGTTGTGTCGGGCATCATCGGCATCGTTGTCGGAGCGTTCACTGGCTGGCATATACTGTTAGCCAGCCGAGGCCAGACCACCATTGAGTGTCTCGAGAAGACGCGCTACCTCTCGCCTATCCGCCGAGCTATGCAGACGAACAATATCCGCGGTGTTCCGCTACCGCAATATGGGCAGCAGCTGCTTGACGTTCACGCCAACGCCCTCCCGGGCATCACCCGCCCCGAAGAGGGTGAGGAATACCGCTCCGGTGTGCCCGGTCTTGACGGCCAGCGTCCCGCATTCCAATCCTATGAGGAGGTTGAGAGACACAACGCCCGGAAACGCTACGAGGACTACCTCGATGAGCAGGACTCGGAGAAGCTCCCTAATGCCTTCGACCTCGGCGCCAAGCGTAACCTCTTCCACCTCTTTGGTCCCACGCCTTGGCTTTGGGCCTTTCCCATCTGCAACACGACTGGCAATGGGTGGTCTTGGGAGGCCAGCCCCAAGTGGGTTGCAGCCCAAGATCGTATCAGGCGGGATCGCGAAGCTCAGCGCGCCCGTGAAGTCAATGCTGGATGGGGCTCCGACGATGCGCCGCCCCAGTTCCTACGTCCCAACCCTCCGGCCGGTGCGGGCCGCCACTTCAACCAGACGTCAGCGCCCTCGCCCTCGCCCTCGACACTCACAGGCCGAAAAACACCCTCCAAGGCCGACCGTGTACTAGGCCGTGACCCTAACCTGTACGCAGACGAGATGCAGGATGCCGTCTCCATGCGAAAGCTCAGCCCCAGAGGCAAGACGATTGAAGACGACCTCTTTGCCACAGACGATGAGGGCCACAGCCCCCAAGACGACGCCGAGGCCGCAGAAAACAGGGCCATGAACCTCGTGACGAACGGAGGCTGGGGCCGCGGCGGCGCAAGCGGGCTGCTGAGGAAACATAGCAGCAACAGTACCAGCCCGTCCATAGGCGGGACAGGCTTTGACCGACGGGCGTCGGCGGTGGATGATGATCTCGACTAAAGTGTTTCTCTTATTCTGCTTAAGGGGAAGGGGAGAGGAGTCATGAATATACCACGCGCCGGCCGGATATGTCGGCGTTCTGTTTCGGTCTGGATTTTTCTGTAGTTTATCATGGGAAGCATCATGTCGAAGGGGCTGGGAGAGCGCTTTCCCGACTGAAGCTATTCATTTCAAGTCATGTATCGTGAACAAGATTGATATAGAACTCAATCATGGGACGGCAGCTTAGGCTTTTTAACTCAATTCGAAGCACCACTCAAGACGAAACCCATGTTTGATTTTGTTATTGATACGGTGCAATGTTATGAACGTGATTATCGCTGTGCCATGGAAGCACAACTGGGTCTTCAATCTGATGCCTTTTCCCTATTCCCTTGTCCTCGTCCCATGGTGCAAAGCAGACAACCTCATAAAGACCTCTATTGAAGCAATTCCTTGGAGCACAGAAAGCCGGAGTTGCCTCACCGGCAGGTCGTCGTCTCGTCCCAGTTCGCCCGATGTACTCTGATGCTAACGCTAATGCTTCTTCCTGAGTCCTGAAACTCGTGCCGATGCTCCATTCTTCCAGAGATCACTGAACGGTAAGGACCTTTGTCTTGTTCTCCTTCTGCGCCTTCATCGCCTCCACCCAGCGATCCGTCTCCCGCAGCGCCTTCTTGGGATCCTTCTTCCTCTTGAGCAGGAATCCCTGAATCTCCGCTGGGCTCAGAAGCCCGTCGTCGATTTTGCTGCCAAACGCGGCCGCAATGTGTGACAGGCCTTCGACGCCGTCGTCGCCGCCGCCCTCGGCTCCCTTGTTCTCCGCCTGTCCGTTCTGCGTCGCCTCGCCGCTCTTCTCGACGGCGGCGTCGTTCTTGGCGGCATCTGCCTCGTACATACGCTCGAACAGCTCGCGCGCCTGCTCGCTCGTGGCGTTTCCAAAGGCGACTTGTAGATCGACGCGACCAGGCCGGATGAGCGCGGCGTCGAGGGCCTCGGGGTGATTGGTCGTCATGACGAGGACGCGGCCTTCCTGAGACGCGACGCCGTCGATGGCGTTGAGGAGACCGGAGAGGGAGATACCCTTGCGGTCGTCGCCGCCGGCGCCGGGTGCCTTGAGGGCGCGGGCGAGGTCGGAGACCTTCCAGTCTTCGCGGGGGCGGTGGGCCGCAGGCTGGTCGTGTGATGCGGAGTCCTTGTCGCCGTTGACGCTCGCGCGCGCACCGCGGCCTGGGCGGGTCTTCTTGTCTGTGGCTGGTACTTCGCTTGCTTCCTCTTCCTCTACCTCTTCTTGTGGGCGGCGGAGGCCGGCGGCGTCAATGTCTTCGAGGAGGACGACGCAGCGCCGGGGCAGGCTGCTGAAGAGGGTGCCGAGATCTTCTTCGGAGAGCGTGGGCTCGAGCAGACTGATGACGTAGATGTCGAGACCGAAGACTCCGGCGAGGGCAAACGACAGAGACGTCTTGCCGGTGCCAGGAGGTCCGTGGAATAGATAACCGCGACGAAGAGGGATACCGCGGTTAGCGTACCAACGCGGGGTCGCAGGGTGGAGATACTCGTTCATATCGGCGAGGACGGTCGACTTTTGAGCGGCGTCGAGGATGACTGTGCGAAGGGCGCGGACGGGACGAACTGCCACAGTCGCCCAGTTGCGAGGGTTGAAGCGGCGGAGGGGCTGCGGCGAGGGTCGTTTAATGGTGGTGCGGGCGACGTGGTCGCTGTAGTAATGCTGCTTGACGGCCTGGAGGAGAGTCTTAATAGGTGTGGTTGAGCGGCCGAAGCAGGAGATGACGAGGACCTCCTCTTTCTCCAGGGTCGTGCCGGTCGAGCCACGAGCTCCTCCAGAATTATCGTCGAGGAACGACTGGTGCTTCCGCTGCAGGCGGAAGTAGCGACGTCCATACCAGAAGCCGTGAAGACCAACTGCTGGCACGAAGCGAGGGGGTGCGTTGGCCTGCTGGTTGGAGAAGTTGAGATACTTTTCATCGCCGCCGCCGGCAATCGTGCGAAGCTGAAGGGCATCTATCTGATCCTCGTCATCTTCCCAGGCGGAATGAGCAGCGGTCTCGGCCATGAGTGAGCGAGACGTCGTGACCAACGGCTGAACGGCGAGCCACTTCATCATATGAACATAGATTTCGTCTGTCGAGGCCACGGTGATGGATGCCATGAAATGGGCAGTTACGATCGCAGCGAGGGCGTGGTAAAGCTGTCGGGCAAAGCGGTTGATGGCCCAGGCGGCGGCGGCGAGGGTCAAGAGGAACGAGGGGTCGATGGGCAGGCCAAGACGGGCGCCGAGGATGTTGTTGGCGAGATTCAAGGCGCGGAGAAGAGGACTGAGTTGGCCTCCGAGGAGGGGAGCCAGGGCGTCCAGAAGGGGGTTCTTGGGAAGTCGCCCATGGCTGGTAAAGGTACCAGAAGATGATGCCGTAGGTGGAGTCCCAGCGCAAGCATCTACTGTGCTGTTTGGGCCGAAGAGGCCGTAGAGGATCTCCTTAATGTCCATCACGGCCACCCTGCTTGTGGTGTTGTTGTTGCTGGTTGTCCTTGTAATCTCAAATCTGCGAGTTTCTTCGTTGAAGCCTTTTGTAGGCCTTGCCCGGTCTCGCGCAGTGTCCCGTCTTTCGGCTCGGCCGATTGGTTGTAGCCGGCGTTCACGATATTAGGTTGGCCGGTCGTCTGGTCACTTGCCCCGTCGTCCGGTCACTTGCCCAATTCCAATGTCCGGACCTCCTTGTCTTCCAGCTCTTGAAACCGTCCAGCCTTTATTGCTGTTCGCCCTTGCTCGGCCTTGGGCTGTCAGTCCAGCTCGATGCTTTGATGTCTATGTAGCTCCTAGTGATCCTGGTAGAATGAAGGATCATACGTTCTATGAAAGCTGGGAAGAGGCGAGTGACAGGAGGAAACGTAGGCCGGACGATGACTTATACCTTGAACGCCTTTGTGGGCTCAATGAGGTACACTCTTTAGGCAGCAAAGTTCACTTGACTTATGACCAGCCCCTAGGTGAAATGATCTGCATGAGGTACCTTGTGTATAAGGTTTTCGGGCGGGTTGCGGTATTGTGAAGGCAATGCTGTGAATCGGTGCCTGAACTGCCTCACTCGCAAAATGCCATGTTCTCTATAAAAAGCCAGCAGGCAAGCAGATGACGTCTCTCTTTTCATCGTTGCGTTACAAGGTAGTGTGGTGGGGCTGTCATCATCAGTCGCCACCTACTTGCATGCAGCCTCTGTTGTCGGTTTTGGGAACGCGAGGTCTTCTGGACAAGGCAACGAACCCAGGCACCGAGCCCAGGCACAAGGGCAGAAGTGTTGATCAATAGGTCTAGAACAATATTGTCAAGGCAGCCAGTCGATGTAAGCCGTTGGATTGGCCCTCTGCTACATGCTACATAAGTCTTGGTTGGGAATGGGGGCTGACTCACAGTCGGTGTTCGTATTGGGACTGGTCGGTGTCCTATCTGGGCAATCATCGCTGGCCTAGCTGGCTGAACAACCACCAATCTGTCTTCTGATCTGCTTCCATCCTCACTTGCATTGTGGTATTGCCTGTATGACTCGTCGAGCCAGTATTTTGGCCGGCCGTTTGTGGCCTTCTCGGTAACCTGATTACAAGGCAGGCCCTCGGGGTCCAACGCCGCTTCCCGTAACCTCTTCAGCCTCGACCTCATCGTCGTCTGCCTCTTCCTCTCCTTCCACATCCTCGTCCTCGTCTTCATCCTCGTCATATCCCCCTGCTGTCATTTCAACGTCCGTGTCCCTGAGAGCATCTGCTTGTCGTTTTGATGGCCCGCCGAAGCGATTAGCCCCGAAAGCCACGTAATCGTCATCGTCGTCTTCTTCGTCGTCTTCCTCCTCATCGTCATCGTCATCATACTCGTTACCCGTCTCTTCGGCCTCGCCTTCCATGGGAACGTAGAAGCTCCGGTCGGCATACGGCGATCTGCTCGCATCATTCTGGCCAGCCGACCCTGTCAATTGCGCCAGGATGCTTTCCTCTTCCTCATCTTCGTCTGGTTCTCCGTCCTCCTGCAAAATGCCACTCAGGTTCGGATCGATTTTGACATGATCATCTTGGCTGTGATCTGACGTCTGCTCGTCTCTGCTGGCTAGGGCGCGGGCCGTCTCATGTGCGGAATGGTATCTATTCGGCCCGCTGCCTCCTTCGAGCGGCTCGTCGTCTTCGCCATCGACTTCTGCCACGCTTTTGAGCCGCGGCCCGCGCTTGTTCTGCCCAGGCACGCGATAGTCAAAACCGTGCGTCTTCTTTTTCTTGGGTTGCTTCCAGTTTCGACCGTAAATCTCGCGCATTTCGTCGTCTGTGAGCTTCAGATCAGGGACAGGGATCCGCACGGCTGACGAGTTAGGCGGGGGCGTGGTGTCCCGCACCTCAAACACTGCATCGAACGCCTCATCAGGGAACTTGCGCCCAAATTGAACTGCCATCATCTTTGTCTTCATAACAGCTTTAAGTTTCGCCCACGTGGCTCCGTGGAACCACCCGCTCGTTAAGATGCTACACTCGGGTCGCACGGGCGACTCGTTTACGATCCGTGCAATGACTGGGTCGGTGATGTCACAGACCTGCCAGATCTTGCCATCGGACCAAAACGATTTGCCGTCAAAGACGTGGCTGTTAAAATTGTCGCCCATCTGCTGTCGGGCTTCGGTGCGGATACTGCGAAGGCCTTGCCACGTCTCGCCGGCATATCCCGGCTGCAGCTTGCGTAAATTGAAGATGACAGTTTGGTATTTGCGGAAGCTTGGATCAGACCGAGGATCGACGCCGTACTTGATGATGGAATCACGGAACGGCCCACCCCGAAACTGATATCCTGCAAAGCCCGCACAGCGCTTGACGATGTGTGCGTTACGAACCTTGGTCCCGAGGGCGTTCAGGAGCGATCTTCGGGTCCATATCGGCCTGTCCTCCATAAGCTCCTTGGAGAGAGTGATGCACATCTCGACCTCAGGGTCACCGCCATCATACTCGAACTGCGGGCCCGTTGGCACGGGGTACTGGTCGGCACTGAGGAAATAGCCGACCAAGACAGGCATTTGTGTGTTGACCAGTGTTTGCTTGCCACTAGGGTCCATCTCGGGACGCACGTATGGATTCTGCTCGTACGTATAATTGAACGGCAGGGCGGTTGTAGCCCATTGTGGAGGTGGGATGAGCTCAACATTCGGACCCAGGTCTGTTCCCTCGTTGAATTTGAACTCTCGCATCTTGTTGAGGTCGCCAGACATGACGCCCTCTTGGAATCTCTTGATAAAAGGCGACTCGTCCATGTTCCATTGAAAGTCAGCTGGGCCTGCGTCATGTCAGTCATGGGCCTGTCTACCAAGCACGCGGCGTCAAACCTCGAAATCGGTGCGTGCCCTTCACAAGGCCAACCGGCTCAACACGATAGTCGTCGATGTTGTCTTGTAGCTTCCGCCGTAAGACTCTTGGATTATCTTCTCGTGCCTTGGAGCATACGTAGGACGAGGGTGCATCCACAGCCCCAGGCTCCATCGCGTTCGACTCGCCCTCGAAGGGGCCGCTTGAGCCTTTCTTACGTTTCCTCCCTGTCCTTTTGGGAACAGTGATCTTGAGCACAACGTTGTGTGTAGCGGCGTTATGCGACATGACAGGTCTCCTGAAAGGACTCTCCGGGTTGAGATAGAAGGGGATGCTCAGGCGATCCAAGTCAAGCACGTTCTGGAAACTGGTGATTCTTCCAAACGCCTTTTCAGCCCGGTCCAGATTCATGACAATCATGGGCACTTCGACTGCTGATAGGACACGCTTGGGAATCGGGTGCCTGCGCGCTTCGTCATCAAAGATGTCGCTCTCTGAGCTTGACGTGGATTCCGATTCAGATGAGCCGAGAATATTTTCCGACCTCGCTGCTGCTTTCGCCAAGGCGTGCTCCATGGCACCCTTTCGCAAATGGTCGGCCGGCCGATATGCGGCGTCGTTGGGATTCTGCATCTTGCATGCAGTATGGAAGATATGTTGATGGATATCAATATCGTTGGTGCTCGAGGATTACCCTCGTTTACACATCTCTGGACGATGCCACTGGGCGCCGGGGAGCTCGCTCGCTTGACGTGCTCATCTCCCACTGAGGGAATGCAGCTCTTGCACAGAATGAAACAGACGGCTTGGCTGAGCAGGCTTTCATTAGCTATAGGGTTGTCGATGAGCCAGGCTTACATCGGACGGGCAAGAATTGCTGAAGAAGTAATTGCCGAGCATACAGTGTCTCGCCGCCCTTCGACAACGCGCACTGTAACTGGCCCCAATCGAAGAAGCTGCCAAATCCCGTGATATCTGGCCCGTGCACCAGTCCACCAAACACCCCCCACTGGCCGCGTGGGATCGTGTCCAATGTACCTCCTAACAGCTTGGGTGCAATCTTTACCAGTGCATTGACGAGAGGGAGATTGGCCAGTACCTGCCTCCCTCAATCCCCCCCTTCCCCTTCCACTCCCACTACCTCAATTTGCCGTCGCCAAGTGCACCTAAGGGGGTTCCTCTTACCGTTACCTGTAGGTGTTCCTGAAAGTCCGGATCAGCCCCAGGTGTGATCAGCATCGACCTCGATCCTGACAACTACGTACAGACAAGCCTTTTCATTTCTTTTCGTTTGATTCACTGATCTTTTGCGACCTGCCGCGCACGACAAATTGCCGGATATCCCCCGGCTCGTCGTCGAGGTGCCTTACGCTACCTACCCAGCTTAGGTACCCAAGGTACCTACCTAGGTACTAGAGGCTAGCCCCATATCTTACCACGAGTCCCCTGCTATTCCACAGGGCCACCCGGCTCTCAGCTCTCCCAAAGGTACCTACATAGCCAGGAGACAGAGAGAGAGCACCGGGGGTCTAGTTGGCTCCGTGTTGTCGCACACCTCACGTTGGCCCCGCAAACAACTGCGACTCCAACTCCCAGCATTCTCCCCGACAACACCACTTCCGCAGCTCAAGCCCAACTCGAGGTCGAATCAGGCCAAAAATACACCAAGGGTCTCCCCCCCTTTCGCCTGCCCTCGCATCCCACCTCACCTCGCCATAATTGTGCATCAGGCCTTCCTTGAGTGCCTTCGCCTCCCAAGCCGAATGGGTGTGCTTCTCTCTGGCGCCCCTCATTGAACACCCGCCTCTGGCTTGGCCTGTGCCCTGTAGCACCACCCATCATCATCCTAACCACGTCAAACTCCCCGACACTGCGGTCGCACGTTCGCGAGGCGAACTCCATCCCCTCCCCACCGAACATTCAAACGCCTTCCCCCCTCAACCCGGGAGCAAGGTGTCTCCCATTGACTCCTGCCAATATTCTGCTCCTTCCTTCACAAACCTGTCCATCGAATCAGAAGGCGGTGTCATCGTCACGACAGGCCTGAACACCTACCCTCTCCGTGTCGCGATACACCTGTCGGCCACCATCCAACACGACCTCGCGCGACCGCAATCATCTCCCAACAAGCTCTGGCTACCTCTTGTGCCTTTCTTGCACCCGCCAGCCTTGCCTGTATACCTACCTTGCCGTTGCCCCTCAGCTGTTCCCGCACCGGTGCCTGACGCAACGAATCACCCCTCGGCAACCCCCGTTATCAGCGTTCGTCACCATCAAATACCGTACTGAGGTGTTCTATGAACAATATGAATCGCTTCAGCCAGCGCGTTAAGGTATGCTCCTCACTCCACCTCCGTACGAACTGCCCACTGATCTTGTTGACGAACTCGGTACAGGCCCAGTTGTCGCGCGGGAAGGACCCCAACAAGCCCAAGAAGAGCAAGGACGCCAAGGATGGTGCCGCCTCACCTTCGTCCGTGGGCTCGGGTCGCGACGCAAACCAGTCCCCTGTGTTGACGCCTTCTTCTTCGACTTCTACCCTGAACGACATTCGCAACAAGCCTCTGCCCAGCGGCACCGCAACCGACCACGGCGCACCGAACCAGCCGTCACCTCTGAGCAACCAACAAACCGCGGGCCAGGATCGTTTCGGTGGCACCTCACAAGCTTCCAATGGCAACGGTACCCCTTCCCGACTCGGGGCTCTACCTCCGTCCGTCGTCATCAGCCCAAGCGCTCCGGTAAGATACCCCCCTCTCTCACTATCAGCCCATGCCCATGAATCCAGGCGTGCATTCTTGGTCCGCTGCTAACGACAACTCCACTGTAGCACGTCCCCCCTCCTGGCGCAGCAGAGACTATGCCACACGACCTGGCACCCCCCAAGGCGGGCACCAAGTCGCTGATGTTCGACCGCCTTCATCAAACACCGAAAGACGTGCCCGAGGGCATGCGGACGCCAAAACGCCAGCACTCTTCGCGATTCGACATCTCAGCGGATCGCGAGCTCGAGAAACTGCCGGGCTTTCACGAAGTACCTCCCAATCGGCGCCAGGACCTGTTCATGCAGAAAATTGATCAATGCAATGTCATCTTTGACTTTAACGATGCCAGTGGCGACATGAAGTCGAAGGAGATCAAGCGACTGGCACTGCACGAGCTGCTCGACTACGTGGCCAACAACCGTCAGGTCATTACAGAACCCATGTATCCGAGGGTCGTCGAAATGTTCAACAAGAACTTGTTCCGTCCCATCCCGCCCCCCATGAACCCCCAAGGCGAGGCTTTCGATCCGGAAGAGGATGAGCCCGTGCTGGAGGTAGCGTGGCCTCATATTCAGGTCGTGTACGAGTTCTTCCTTCGCTTCATCGAAAGCCAGGACTTCAACACGAACATTGCCAAAGCCTACATCGACCATAGCTTTGTCCTGCAGCTACTGGAATTGTTCGACTCCGAGGACCCTCGTGAAAGAGACTTCCTGAAGACCACTCTTCATCGCATTTACGGCAAATTCCTGAACTTGCGATCTTTTATCAGGCGCTCCATCAACAACGTCTTTTTCCAGTTCACTTATGAGACAGAGAGGTTCAACGGTATCGCGGAGCTTCTTGAAATCCTGGGCTCGATCATCAACGGATTTGCTTTGCCGTTGAAGGAGGAACACAAGACCTTCCTCACGCGAGTTCTGATCCCCCTGCACAAGGTCAAGAGCTTGAGCATGTACCACCCTCAACTAGCTTACTGCATTGTGCAGTTCTTGGAGAAAGACGCATCTCTAACAGAAGAGGTAAGTTTGTGTCGGCGCGTCAGCCACCGTATCGAGAGCAAAGAATAGCGCTAACCGCTGCAGGTTGTTCTCGGTTTGCTCCGATACTGGCCCAAGACCAACAGCACCAAAGAGGTTATGTTCCTCAATGAGGTGGAGGATATCTTTGAAGTCATGGACCCTGCCGAATTCGCCAAGGTTCAGGAGCCCCTATTCCACCAGCTTGCGAAGTCAGTTGCGAGTCCGCACTTCCAAGTCGCCGAGCGCGCTTTATACTTCTGGAACAACGAGTACTTTTGCAACCTTGTCAGCGACAATGTGGAGATCATCCTCCCCATCATGTTTGCACCCCTATACGAGAATTCCAAGGGTCACTGGAACAGGTGTGTTCCTCATTTGGTATCCCGTAACTGCTTGAGCTGACAGCCTTATCAGGACAATTCACGGTATGGTGTACAACGCTATGAAGCTTTTCATGGAGATCAACCCCCAGCTCTTTGACGACTGCTCCCACGACTACACTGAGCAACAAAACACTGCTGTTGCACGCGAGACCGAGAGGAAGCAAAAGTGGGACTCAATTGCCAGCCTTGCGAGCCAGAGGAAATCCACAAATGGCACCGCTGGCCCCCGAGAGCACACCCCGTCTCCAACAGCAATGTCTCAGTTAGCTTTGTGAGCGGCGCATTCATTGCAGAACTCGCGGGCAGAGACTTTGGCCCGGACAACGATGGATGTCAAAAAAGGAAGGGATCCATGAGGCCACACAGTAGACCGTAGACATGGAATAGGAGCATGTCAAGTATACGTTCCGCTGGCACGATGCCCAGCTTTCGGTATCTGAAAGTTACAGGATGGGTGGTTAGGCCAAGTGTGCAGAACAAGAATAACGTCGCTCGGTTTGGGCTTCAGAATTATTAGCGCTGAGACTGCATTTCATTTTAAACAACTGTCTGAACTGCTCGAAGGCTGTGACACGCATTCTTGACAAGCGCTACCTCCACCGTCCTCTGCCCCTGTCGTGGCTGCCGCGGCTGCTGTAGCCCCCCCTCCCGTACGACTGCTGCGGCTGACTATACTGGTGCAGCGGTGGCGGCGGCGGCGGTGGCGGTTGTTGCTGGTGCTGCTGCCAATTGGCCCCCGGACCCCCTGGAGGTGGTGGTACGGGGGGGAACCAGTTCGGCGGCGGTCCGCCCATGCCCAGGTGAGGCGGAGGCGGAGGCGGTGGTGGCCAAGACCCTTGGTGCCCAAAGTGTGCAAACTCCCCACCGCCAGGGCCGGGCGGCGGAGGTGGGAAGGGCAATGGTGGCGGGAAGGACGGCGGAGGGGGTGGCGGGCGTCCGCGTTGCGCGTTGGCTGTCGAGTCGTAGTGAGCGTGGTCGTCACGGTCCCGGCTACGACTCAGACCGGGGTCGTGATCTCGCGATGTAGAGGATGGTGAGATGTATCGCCGAGGGGGTGTTCGAGATCTCGATCTACTATAAGACTGAGGCCGAAATCGTCCTCTTGGCTCGGGGCTACGTCGTGCGGTGTCACGGTTCCGGCCACGACTGCGACTTCGGCTGCGGCTCGGGCTCGGGCTGTTGCGGGACAATCTTCGTCGCTTGAAGGCTGGCGGTGAGTTGGTGCGACTCCTTGATCTGTCTCGAGACGGGCTCCTCGAGCGACTGGACGCCTGCGAGCGCTCGCGGCCACGGCTCATGGGACCCAGCTTGGCGTTTTTCTTTCGCTGCTTCATCTTTTCGCAGAACCCTCGCGACCAGCCGTAGTATGTTGTGCCGCCAATGATGTCCCCCGTGATCTCATCGATGATGACCTGCTCCCCCATCTCGTTCCGGTCCACCAGCGAGTCTTCGTCGCCCGTCGCTTCCTTGCTGTAGATGCTCTCCACATCTTGGAGAAGATTCTTGACGGCCTGTGCGAGGGCCTTGTCGGCGGGGCCGGATGCTAGCTGAAGAGGCTTGATCATGTCGGGGTGCATGGGCTTCGTCGAATTGGGCGTCAGGTGAGGGAGCCAATTGGCCGCGGGCAGGTCATACCACGACAGCCGAGGGTCGCCGTGCATCGAGGGCAACAGGTATGGAGCCTCCCTCCCAGATCTTGCACCGCTGGCCTGGCCAGAGCTGGCTTTTGCGTCGTCGTTCGTCGTCTGGGCGGCCGTGAGGCTCTGCGGATCTGCTCGCAGGATGTCCCTCAGGTCCTGAATCAGACCAGGTGAGAAGTAACGCTCTTCATCCCAGAGTGACAACAGGCTGCCGAGCTTGCTCATATGCTTTGGACTGTTCTGGAAGCTCGCTGCTTGGCGGAACAGGCTGGGCAAGCTGCCCTCGATCTCCTTTGCAAAACCAGCATTGTGCTGCCGGCTACTTGTATGATAGATGACGTCATTCAAGACATAGAGGATGTGCAGCTGCCTGCGCTTCGCAGATGGTCTCCTGACGCCGACGGCAGCATCACCGGTCAGGGAGCTCGACAAGGCTACCAGATATTTGCCTAGGGCTGCGACGCGTGCCGGCGATGCGCATAGGTGGTCAAGGATCCAGCGCTTGCATTTCTAGAAGCGTGGTGGTTTAGTCTCGAAGCTGGCGACGGGAGAAGCGCGTATCGGCACGAAAAGGGGCCGAATGAGCGGACAGGGCAAGTCAAACCTGAACGTTGGCAGGGGAGCATTTCGAGATGGCATCAGAGAGCAGGGTGTGGAACGACTCGATTTGGGGGCGGGTCAGAGGCGTCGGCTCTTTGCGGAAAAGGACGGCGCTGAAGTTGACCTTCGCGATGGCCAGTTGAGGGGTCGTCATCGTCAAGGAACTTGCATGTCGACCGTATCGTGGTTCTGGGCAATCGCGCCTGTGTCGTCGTGCGGCGCGGCTGCTTGTTGGAATTGCTAGCCTGAAGCCTGGTGAGGTGCATACACACAGTCGGAGGAGATCCGCGAGTGGAGCCTTGGACCCATAAAAGAGCAGATGCACGTGATACTGATCGCACGAATTACCATTCGGGCGTCTGACGTACCTTACATGTACATGCGTCACACAGCTCCGGCCATCGGAATGAGAAGAACTTCCCCAGACGCCCCACTAGCAGCTTGGCTTGCTTGCTATTTCCTACCTATCCAAACCTTTTCCTCCGAATCGAATCCACGTTATTTTGAATGACTCTCTAGTGGCGATTACGCAGCTGAATCTCACCCTGACATCTACTGAACATTTCCTGCCGACCGACTCATCAATTGATTGATTGACCTGGACAACATCAACAATCATGTGCCCGACTCCCGATCAAGCTCCGGCCGCGAACGGCCATGCCAACGGCGCGAATGGCTCGAACGGCTCCGCCAACTGCATGTCATACCCTGCCCACCTATGGCTTCCTCGCTCACCGGAGAGGATGAGCGTTTGCTAACATGTACCACAGCCCACCCTGGATTCACGGCCATTCCCGTAAGTGTTACCCTCCAGTGATACAGGCGAAAGCCTTACATCAATGTCCATTGGGTCAGAGCTCTAATCGCCTCGTCCGCAGACCAAGCAAACGCACTCCAGCCCCTACCAGCCTGTAGGCGACTTCCTCAGCAATGTTTCTAGGTTCAAGATCAGTGAGTCTACCGGCGCAACAAGACCAAGATTGACGGGCCATGAATCGTCCTCGAGTAACACGCTTCTGACACCATGTGCTCCCGGCAGTCGAGTCCACCCTGCGCGAGGGCGAGCAGTTCGCCAACGCCTTCTTCGACACAGAGACCAAGATCAAGATTGCCAAGGCCCTCGACGATTTTGGAGTCGACTACATTGAGTTGACATCCCCCGCGTCCAGTGAGCAGTCGCGTAAGGACTGCGAGACGATCTGCAAGCTCGGCCTCAAGGCTAAGATCCTCACCCACGTTCGCTGCCACATGGATGATGCCCGTCTGGCCGTTGAGACTGGTGTTGATGGCCTTGACGTCGTTATCGGAACATCTTCATATCTTCGGGAGCACTCGCACGGCAAGGACATGACGTACATCATCAACGTGAGTTATCCAAGTTCGATCGGGTGTCTTAATGCAGCCGAAGCGTTCACCTAGTCAATGACATGACGCTGACAACCTGACAGACGGCCATTGAGGTCATTGAGTTCGTCAAATCGAAGGGCCTTGAGGTTCGCTTTTCCAGCGAAGACTCCTTCCGCTCCAACCTCGTCGACCTTCTCTCCGTGTACAGCGCCGTCGACAAGGTTGGCGTCACGCGTGTCGGTATCGCAGACACAGTGTCAGTGGAATCCTGTTGTTTGGTGCCGAGTGTTTGCTGACCTTCTCTTAGTGGCTGCGCATCCCCCAGACAGGTCTATGACCTGGTCAGGAGTAAGTTGCGGAGCAGCACATCCCTCGGCTTGGAGAAAACTGTCTGACAACGTTCCCTATAGCTCTTCGTGGCGTTGTCAAGTGCGACATTGAGACCCATTTCCACGATGATACTGGCTGTGCCGTTGCCAACGCCTACTGCGCTCTCGAGGCCGGTGCTACACACGGTGAGTTTCATCACAAAACATGGTTCTCTCTGGAAACGATACTAATCAGATTACTCATCAGTTGATACTTCCGTTCTTGGTATGTCCATGCCTGCCATGGCAAAGGCTCTGCAGTGTCTTAGTGGCTCATGCACCAAGGTGATAAGAAACATGACACTGACGTTGTTGTCTAGGAATCGGTGAGCGCAACGGTATCACCACTCTCGGTGGTCTGATGGCGGTACGTGTTGAGATATCCCGATACCTTGAACTGTGAGCTGACATCTTTTAAAGAGGATGGTTGTCGCCGATCGCGAATATGTTACCAGCAAGTAAGTTGGATGCTTGGTCCGTCCTGCCTCACCCTGAGGCTAATGACTACACAGGTACAAGCTCCACAAGCTCAAGGATCTTGAGAACCTCGTGGCCGACGCTGGTATGTCTTTTTCCCTGCCCATAATACCACTGTTTTGCGATTGTTACGAAGCAAGGTTGTTTGAGCTTTCAACCCCAACACCTGAGGTTCATCGGACGTTGCCTTCAAACCCAATCGCAGTTCGCGAATCGTGAAAAAATCATGAAATAAAGGCTGACTTGAACAGTCCAAATTAACATCCCGTTCAATAACCCTATCACCGGATTCGTACGTTCTCCCCCAAACCTCAAGCTCCTCCATTATTTGAGTCTAACACAAGCGTCAGTGTGCTTTCACCCATAAGGCCGGTATTCACGCCAAGGCTATCCTGAACAACCCCAGCACCTACGAGGTCCTGAACCCCTCCGATTTCGGCTTGTCTCGCTGTAAGTTAATCTGCTATCGCGACGGAGAGCTTTGCTGACCTTGCACCCAGACGTCCACTTCGCGTCTAGGTTGACTGGCTGGAACGCCATCAAGAGCCGTGTCGAGCAGCTTGGCCTGACCATGACCGATGCACAGGTCAAGGAGTGCACCAAGAAGGTCAAAGCCATGGCCGACGTGAGGCCGCTCGCTATTGACGACGCTGACTCCGTCATCCGTACCTTCCACCTGAACTTGACCTCGGACGAGGAGAAGCCTCTGCTTCCCGATCTGACCTCTGAAGAGCATGCCAAGTTTGTGCAGGCCGAGAAGGAGATCGCCGCTGAGCCTGAGAAGAGATCACTGGATACCACTGAGGAAACAAATGGCAGCGCTGCCAAGAAGGTCAAAGTCTAAATACGCTGGGGATGTACAACAGGCGCCTAAAAGGGGTGGACAGCTCCCACAAGTTTGAAATCATGTACGTTTGTCACAGATACGAAGGGAAGAGTTGCAAAAAGTTTACAGTCAGCTTGCTCAAGATCTCAAGATGTGGTAGCCATTGGAAGCGTGGTTCCTTCACGATTGATTGTATGAGTGTTCGAGCCGCTACCAATGCGTGACGGAGGGAGCTGGTGAGGGGTGGAATTTAGGGCATGTTGACAGTGATTCTGTTGGCTTGTGTGTAGATCTGAGTAGAAGAATGTCCGGTATGGTGAAGAGTGTTTTTGGTGTAACTGATCAACGGGAGCTAGCTGCTTAATCTCACATTGCTGCCGACCAATCCCCTGCACACGGTTGCATGGTTACCTGCAACGTTGACGTTGTGCACACCGCATCGTCAGCGACGACCGCTGCATGCGCTACCATTGGGCAGTTTGTGAGATAAGACCAAGGCGTGCTTGGCAACTCGAGACTACATCCCCTCACAGAAGGGAAGAAGGATAATGAAATGTAGAGGGGAGGCTTGGGTCGTTAATTCGTAGCGCCACTATCAGCTCGCCGTTTCTAAAGAGAACGTAGCAAATCCGCATTAATAATTGTACAATCACCCCGGGCACCGTATTCGTCCCAGGGCAGCAGGGCACTCTAAACACGACGTTTCTTCCACCCGTTTGTGTGTGTCTGCAATCAGGAAAATCGGTCTCCCTTCGTACTCCTGAATGGCGCAGCACTCTCATACTTGCTCTTCTCGAAGATTCGTTGTTCCTCCGTCGTAGGCGCATGGCGCGTCGGCGCAGGGTCGGCGCCAGCCTCCTGGCTGGGAGAGCCAGCCGTGTCGGTGCGGGCAGGGCTGGCGGCCGGGGTGCCGCCCATTGTCGCGGACGAGAGGGGCCTGCTGGGGACGTTCTCGGAGTATTCCATCGACTCGATCATCTGCTTCTTCCTGCGCTGGTCCTCAAGCCTGGTCATCCGATCGGCGTTGATGCTCTTCTTCGCGAAGTAGTATGCGCCTCCGCCAGCTGTCGTCATTGTGTCAGCAGTCTGTGTGTCCTAGGATCAGGCCTATCAGGTAGCGTACCAACACAAAGAGAGCCCCATCCGAGCCTAGAGTCGAGAATGGTCAGTTTGGCAGGCTCACGGGTTTGAGCGCACCAGGCATCACGTACCAGAATGATTTGACCTACGCCATCCTCAGGTCAGTCATGGCACAACACGTGAGGTCATCGCCGGGTGGGTCTTACGTTGTTCATCTTGTGTTTGCCGGTGAATTGGCCGTTCTTGTCTGGGTTGCGAAGAGACGAAGGAGTGCGTAGAGGAGGAAAAGGTCGAGCGACGGCGACGAACGGGGCGAACGATTGTAAAATGTTCAGTCGTTCCGAGCGACATGGATTAATGGGGTGATATCGACGACTTCTCCCATGGTCCAGCCATTCAGATCCCGCCTGAACCGTGCGTGCTTCCCTTGAAGACCCCACCCCACCTCCGGCTCCGGCTGGCTTCGCCTGCTACCTAAGGTGCCTGCCTACCTACCTACCTAGGCGGCAGTCATGGTACGGGACTGGGACTGACATTTAGGCTTAGTACCCTGCCTGGCTGGTGACGGGGCCATTGATGGGCGAATGCACGCGATGTTGGCGATTTACAGGGGGGTTCCAGGGTGAGGTGACGCAGTTCTGTAGCCGGCTGAGGCCCTGTGGCCGCAGCATCTACCTACCTCTACATGTACCTAGGTACCTAGGTAGGTACCCTCGCTACCTACGAGTACCTCGCGCCTGCTACGAAACCAACTCAACAGCCCCGCGCCGGGCGGGGCTCGAGCTGAGGCGCCCTGGTCCTTCCTGGCCGCGGGCTTTCTACCAGTGGCTCTTGAGCTCCTGCCCAGCCAGGGTCGATGTGCCATCAGGTGGTACCCACGGTACTTGCCCACCTAGGTAGGTACCTTGGTACTTTTGCCAGGCACATCAAACGGCTTTGCCCAGTTCGGCCCAGCGCTGTGGGACCCCAGCCCAGTGACGCTGTCGAGCGGGAAACAGCTTACGACAGGCGAGGCGGCTGTTCAGGCGTCGCCAGGACACGAGACTTTGACAGCAACTGGAACATCCGACACTGCCACAGCCCGCCGATCTCCCTTTCAATGCCGACTGTCCTCAACAGGCAAATGCCCACGCAGACACCAAGCGATACGAAATTACCATCACAGTAGACTCGCACAATCCACAGACCACACCCGACCATCAGCTCTCTCTCTGTCTCCCAGGAACAAGCCATGTCCTCCGAGTAGCCTCTGCCCCCCCCGCAAGCTTCAACTCTAAACCTAGAGATATCATTATGATCGACCCTCCAGTGCGGCCCTATTCAACCTCATCGACTTTCCAAATACAATCAGTCTCGTCCTCCCAGGCAACATCTAGTCACGGACGTCATTCTGCCGGTGGACTCCATCGCTGCTCTGGTGGCTCACTTCGCGTCCCTTGAGCTCTCAGCGCCAGTGTCCGACCCTGGGTATTATGGGTGTTCTCGATTTGAAACCCCGCTGCCGACCTGACTCCCCCCTTTCGTAGCCACAGCATGGCGCCCCCAGAGGAGAACGGGCCTGATGGCTCGTCGCTTGTGAGTCCCAGCTACGTGCTGATGTGCCTGTCCATGTGCTGATAGCATCGCAGAAGCCCGTGTCGTCGCTACGAGCCAAGTTCGAAAACCTGCAGATGGCCCATCCCCCCGAACCAGGCGTCGGCCCCTCGCCCCCTCGAACAGTCTCTCCGGCGCCCAAACCAGAGCGGTTGCGCGAGGTCAAGACAGCGCAAGAGAACATGCATCATGCGCCCGCACCGCGGCCGCCGCCAAAACCACGAGCCGATCGCGGCAGTGTATCTGCAACACATCTCCCCCTCCCTCACCATGAGCTTGACCTCCGCGCCTCCACGCGTTCACTTGGGCCACCGCCTCCGCTGAGTCCAAAGCCAACGACCATGGCCCCGTCCGTCATGATCGAGCCTCCTCATTCTCCCCCGAAACACATGATCGCCAAGTTTGCTCGGGATGATGCGCCAAGTCTCCTGAACCCCGACTATATCGTGACTCCTTCGACTCCGTCCGTACCCTCACGTTCCTTCAAGATACCAAGCCGCACCTCTACGCCCACACTCGAGCCTCGGAAGTCGCCTATGCTCACTGCTTCGCGACCACCATCGCCGCCTCCGCCTAGGAGGTCCGGGGAGATGCGAAGGGAAAAGCCACCACCGCCGATCAGCCGAAACGAGAAGCCCCTAATTCCAGCACAACGGCGAACATCAGTTTTCGCAGATCCGATACGATTGCCAGAACCGAGGCGACAGCCGCAAGAGACCTCTCCGTTCAATAGTCCGCCCAGCAGCCCGGGAAGTCCTGGCGGGGACACACCTCCATTGCCTTCAAGGCCAAGACCGCATGTTGCGCAGACAGATGTATTACGACCCAGGAAGCTAGATCTAGGGTTCGAGCCGCCTCCTCTACACCATTCGCTCGTGACTAAGCGTCAACGCGACAACGATCTGGGCATGAGGGAACAGATGGCTTCTCCGCATATGAATGAACAAAAACCAGCGCTTCCGACACGGCCATTATCACAGATCGAGCCACCGCCTCGACCTGCGCCCTTGACCTCCACGACGATGATGCCCCCACCCCGGCCAGCGCGGCAGGGCTCCGCTATGATTCCCACGCAGGAAGCAGCAACGCCTCCGAAGCGTATAGTCTCTACGCCAACAACGGGCGTCATTCCGCCCCCAGCTCGGATACCTGGACGATCAAATACTGTTGTTGACAGGTCCCTTGACAGGAGCGCTCCGCCAGACGTGCGTTCTATTCGCACATCTGCTCCTGCACAAGCATCGTCGGCCCTTCCTTCTACCTCCAATCCCGCTGCCCAGCCGCCTATTACAAAAGCAGACGGCGTCAACCAAGGCTCCACGTACCCCGATCCCTCTAACACGAATCGGAGAGCCCCCTCGGTCAAGCAAGGTGTGCACGAGGTACCTACCAAGTATGACACACGTGTGTTCGATGTCTGCGGGGATCTTGTTTGTACTACAGGTCTGCTCACCCGAGTCTGGAGTCTTCGCGACGGCGAGCTCCTCGTAAATCTTGCACACGGCGAAGGCGTCAAAGCTACATCCATCGCGTTCAAACCTGGCTCCAACGTTGACGAAGAAGGGCAACGGTTGTGGATAGGAACAAATATGGGAGAGATCCTGGAAGCCGACATTGCCACACAAACCATCGTAGCCAAGAAGGCTACGGCCCATGCACGACATGAGGTTATCAAAATTTATCGGCATTACAACGAGCTGTGGACACTGGATGAGAGCGGCACGCTTGCTATTTGGGGTCCGGATGAGGATCATACGCCGAATCTCAATGGGAACCCGCACCAGACCTATCGACTTCCTCGGACACACGCGTTCTCCATGGTTGTAGGTGATCTTCTATGGCATGCAACCGGCAAGGAGATCCGGATCTTTGCACCTACTCTCGAGGGCGAGACACAGTTTCAAGTCCTGATTCGGCCACTCGTGCAAGACAGTGCCGGGGAGGTCACTTCCGGGACGCTGATGCGGACACATCCGACAAGAGCTTTCTTCGGGCACGTCGACGGCAAAGTCAGCATCTACAACACCAAGGACTTTTCTTGTCTTGCAGTACTGAGTATCAGCGGGTACAAGATCAACTCGTTGACGGGTGTCGGTGATTACATTTGGGCTGGTTTCAACAACGGCAAGATCTCCGTTTACGATATTAGCCAGACCCCATGGACGATCAAAAAGGAGTGGCAGGCACATGAAAACCCTGTCGTCAAAATCGTTTCCGACCCTTCTAGTTCCTACAGGATAGATCGACTGCAGGTTATTTCCCTCGGGGCCGACAACGTCATCCGCGTATGGGATGGACTGCTACAGGAAGATTGGCAAGAGGACGAGATGAAGGCGCAGGAAGCTCAGTACTGCGACTTTGAAGACATCAAAGCTTTGGTCATGACTTGGAATGCTGGTGCATCCACTCCTCATAGTCTTCGTTACGCGGACCAAGACGCTACCTTTATCCGCAATCTGCTTCAGTCGAGCGACTCGCCCGATATATTGATATTCGGTTTCCAAGAACTTGTCGATCTTGAGGACAAGACTGCTACCGCCAGTAAGTGAACTCTGACTTCCTTCAGTCAACCGTTATCTGACACAGAGCAGAGCGTTTCTTCAAGTCCAAGAAGAAGGAAGGGTCAGACCAGGAGCGAATGAGCCACCAGTACCGAGACTGGCGTGATTTCCTGATGAAGAGCCTTGACGACCACATGCCTCGGCATGATCTGTATCACTTGCTTCACACAGCCACGCTCGTCGGCCTCTTCACTTGTATTTTTGTGAAATCCTCACTTCGAGATCGGATCCGCAACTTGAGTGCCTCCGAGGTCAAGCGTGGCATGGGAGGCCTACATGGGAACAAGGGCGCCATTGTCGTTCGCTTCCTTGTTGATGATACTTCCATGTGCTTCATCAACTGCCATCTAGCTGCCGGTCAATCGCAGGCGAACAGCCGGCATAACGACATCGCTGCCATCCTGGAGACACCGCTTCTGCCAGCTGAACGGGATGCCAACAAACGCATCGACAGTTACACCGGCGGCGGCGACGGAACCTTGATCCTGGACCACGAATTGTGTGTGTTGAACGGGGATCTCAACTATCGCATCGACACCATGTCACGGGACACGGTTGTAATGGCAGTCAAGCAGAACAACTTGGCCAAGCTACTGGAGCGAGATCAGCTTCTCGTAGCCAGGCGGCGTAACCCTGGCTTCCGTCTTCGAGCTTTCGAGGAGCTGCCGATCAAATTTGCCCCAACGTACAAGTATGATGTCGGCACGGACGATTACGACACGAGCGAGAAGCGCCGTTCACCTGCTTGGTGCGACCGATTGCTGTACCGTGGCCGAGGGCGCATCAAGCAGCTTGACTACGTGCGTCATGAGGTTCGCGTATCAGATCATCGGCCTGTGACTGGACGTTTCAGATTCACCGTAAAGCGGATTGATCCTAGAGATCGGGCCGTTGCATGGATGGACTGTCAGGTTCGTTTCGAAGACCTCCGGGCGAGGGAGGAGAATAACGAAAAGTGAGTTTCTCTTTTGTTTGGCCCACTGAGACGACGTGCATCATGCTCATTCACCACAGGATGGCATACCTCATGCACGTAATCGGGTACGACACAGCCACAGCCAAGTCTCTGGCAAAACCTCGAAGGGATCGGAGTCCCAGTAGGACGCGAGCATAGAGGAGAGGTAACCATTGCCAGCTTGGCAATTGACTCAACAGTCGGTAGGGAGAGGTGGGAAACAAAACGGCGGCACGACATGGGACTGGGACTGGGAGGGTCGGATCTTCATTGTGCTTTGAAAAAGGCGACACGGGGCGCAGATAGACGGGCCGCAACACGCTCGAGGATCAGGAAACGGGGAGGGCGTTGCACAATAGAGATGGTGACGCAACGGTTTGGTCGCTGTCACATGGAGACGAGGTACGCGGTTGGCTGGGGCGCCAGCCAGCGTCCAAAGATGAAGCATATCAACCAGATGATGAATAGATTTTTTGTTTCAAAGCTTGAGCTCCATGTTCATACTGCTCGCTGCGGATGTTTGCGTGTGGTTTTTGCTTGGTAGATTGCGACGTGAGCGTTTGACTTTCTCATCGGCGCCGATATGGCAAGCAACTACCAGACAACCCTTCTCGTAACTAGCATCAACCACACTGACGGCCACTCACACCGCATCGAGGGTCCGCCACGCAGACAGGCAGGTGCACAAGGTCAAGCATCGGGGAAAACTAGCAATTGGCCCAATAAGTTTGTATTCTGTTCTTCAACAGGTCTAGCAGAATGATAACCCCAGCGCAGCAGCTGGGGAGAGAAAAACGAAAATGAGTCTAATCATACGGTGGTACTGTGGGCCTTTGCTCTCTCAATCCACTCTTCTTCTTTTTTTTTCGAGGATACCATGTTTTCAACGCGAGTAGACGCAATCAAGGAAAGATCCCTCTTCCGGGACAACATGGGGTGCGAAGTGGCGCTTCAAAGGCCAAGCAGAGCACGGGCGCCCGGCTCGCTGCAGACGTAAATAACGTCGTGGTCGTCGGAGAAGCCGTTGAACTTGGTGGCAGAGCACTTGGTGTAGGCGCCCATGTCCTCAAAGTAGAGCCAGTCGCCAACATCGAGTTCGTGTTCGAAGGAGATGCTCTCGGTGATGCGATCAATGCCGTCGCAGGTGGGGCCCCAGACAGAATAACGGGTTCCCTGGCCTTCGGGGCAGGCGTTGGCGGCGGGGTGATCGAAGAGAGTACGCGCGCTGGTGCGGAGGACCTTGGCGACAGGGTGCTGGTGGTCGAACATGATGGAAGAGAAGTTTCCGTAGAGACCATCGTTGACATAGATCATGTAGCTCTTGTCGTCGGCAGGCGTAGGACCATCGACGGTGCGACGGGCAATGACGTTGCAGGCAATGGTGAAGGCCGAAGACACGTAGTAGCGACCAGGCTCCGCCATGATGTTGACGTTGCTGCTGGGAGGGAAGTACTCGTCGAGAGCGCCACGAAGGACAGCCGCCATGTCTTCGAAACTGTCGTCGCAGAAGCCGCCGCCAATGTCGAGCGTCTTCATGTTGAAACCGAAGGCGCGACCCTGCTCGAACACGAGGTACGAGTCGTGGACAGCCTTGTAGAAGGCCATGGGGTCAGAGGCACCCGAGCCAACGTGGAAGCTGACGCCGACAACGTTGAGACCCAGGTCCTTGGCGAGAGCGAGGAGCTCTCCCGCGATCTCCTTGGAAGCACCAAACTTCATGCTGAAGCGGCACAGGCTGGACTCGTCGTCGGTCATGATGCGGAGGAAGAGCTCGGCGCCAGGGTAGAGCTTTGCAATCTTGTAGAGCTCATCGGCATTGTCAAAGGTCATCTGCTTGACGCCCTGAGTCTTGACGTAGCGGAGGTACGAGTTGGTCTTGCAGGGCTGGGCGTAAATGATGCGCTCGGGGGCGAGGCCCATGTTGAGGATCTGGTCAATCTCCCACTTGGAGGCGCAGTCAAAGCCGGTGCCGAGGGCAGCCAGGAGCTCGATGACGCGGGGGTCGGGGTTGCACTTGACGGCATAGAAGGGCTTGACGCGAGGCAAGTTGAGCTTCCAGCGCATGTGCTGGCGGTAAACCTCGCCGAGGTCGGCAACGAAGAAGGTGTCCTCTTCGCCGGCTCCGCAGGACTCCGTGTCGATGCTCTCGACACGGCGGCGGAGAGCCTCGCCGATGAGCTGCTTGGGCGTGATCACGGCATTGTTGGCGGGGGCGTGATCAGCGTATTGCTGCTTCGCCTTCAGGATTGTGTGGTAGCTACGATCATAATTGATGGTAGGAAGGGCATATTGCTCAAGAGCGACAGTTGCCATAACCATATCCGTGAAGTTGACTGGTTGGTCAAGGACGAGCGGTTAACTTGTCTGGTGGTGTTGAAGCCTGACGGTCAAGCGGGTCCTAGGGTGGCCGGAAGCGGTAGCAGGCAGATCCCTCAGCGATCTGGCGAGTTCTCCTCGACTCTCCCTCGACGAGAGGAAGAGGCTCCGAGTGCGTCCTATGCGGCAGCTGATCGGGTGTAGAGTCGACGGGAGGCGTCTGTTGAAACAGAACGTCGAACAGGAAGAATTCGAGTTTTTGCTTAGGCGTGCGCAGGGGCGGGAGGGGGGATGTTGTTGGTGATGTGGAAAGACTTCCGAACGCTGAAATCTTGATCACTGACGAAGCTGACGGCCGCGGGAGCCGTGGTGCACCTGTTGCCTTTGAGACGACCAAAGGCGAGTCGGGGTTGGAAGGGGAGAAATCTCCGTACTGTCGAAGATCTGGACACCCCAACTTTTGTCAGTCTTGGTACTCTTCAAGTGGCGTGGCCCGTCATGGAAGAAAGAAAGGGTCTGTCTCCGGTGATGATTCTGGCGCGTAGGGGGAAGATTCTGGCACTGCGTGACAGGCAGACTGTGGGAGGCTTTCCGGGAGGCGAAGGTGGTATTTTCAAGAGTCATCCGCTCGCTGTGTGTGACCCAATAGACCTGTCCTTTCGTGCCGAGCCTTTCCAGCCAGGCGTGCCGTCGTGTGCCGACTATTCATGCCTCGTGTGTTACGCAGAACGTTCGGACTTACCCAAAAGATTTTGTTTGCGGGGAGCACCTCGAAAGCTGAGACAGCTGCGATGCGATTGATGAGGCGAGATGGTGTTGGAAGCGTGTTGAGCTCAAAAGAGGTGTTTTGGTCGAGGACAAGAGCCAGCCGGGTCAAGGTCGTGGTGGGGTGGCAGGAGGCGGGAGGTTTTTATTCGGTAGCAGGCAATTCTTAGGTCAGCGCGGCCGGTCGTGGTAACGCCAGGCAGGGCTAAAACTCTTCAAGGCCTGGCGCTGGGGTGTGCCTGCCCAAGCCCGTCTGCCCCTTCCCCCTGGTATCTGTTGCGCCTGCCAGGAAAGAGTTCGCGTCCGCCCAAGGTACCACGTCTCAGCCCCCCTCCAATGACGGAGCGTTACCCGCCTGCTAGGCCCCTTCGGGTCGATCGGTCGTGTGCCGGTACCCAATTATCTGTTTTTCATGATGCGTGCCAACCCTCTTGCAGCCCACCAGGACCCAGACGGTTCTCGACCGTTGCCATATCGTTGCTCCACTGGCGAGCACAGGTAGGTACATGTCGTCTGGCCATACATCGCGAAACGGTACCTGGCAAGGAGACACAAGGTCGAGGGCTTTGTACATCGTGATCGACCGCTCGCGGAGCCGCCAAGGATGCCCTCGATCTCCCAGACGGGATACGGCGAGACAGCCTCTGCAGCAGCGCCTCCTATCATGTGCATCCGAAATGCCACCCTCCCTCTTCCTCTCCTCCAGACCGCAACTCGAGCGGGTCACCACCAATAGACAAAACAGTACGATGGAACCGCCCAGGAGGCCGCCCTGCCGCATCTGACCAGGGAAGCTTTCGCTCGACCTGCAAGAGCTCCAGAAGCTCGAACCTCATCGACAGACCGCCAGTCTCTCTGCGCCTCAACACCATGTAATCCCGTGAAGAGAAATTCCCTCATCTCCATCAGACAGGACAAACCACCCATCCGGACGTCTCCCCGGAACAGCCTGTCCACCCTCCTTCGGGGAGCTGCTCAGACCTGTCTCTGCGCTGTCCTGCTTGCTGTCCTGCTTGCTGTCCTGCCTGCTCGAGGTTTCCTCCCTCCCCGCCTCCTCCATGGTCGTGCCCGTCGTGGGTCTCTCCGACCGGCTGTCTTTCCCGGTTCTCGCACATGCAGAGCACTGCCAGGGGGGGAAGGAAGGGAGGGGGGGCAGGAGCGCGCTGCCCATCGCACACACAGCTCGAGGCCACACACTCTCAGGCTCGCACCCTCCTCGGTCCCCCGGCCATCGGGCACCGTGGCCCTCATCGAGAATTCTCCATGACAGCTGGGCCCGGGATGCTCCGCCAGACGAGCGCAGAAAATGGGGATCCGCCCGTGTGCAAAAGGCTGCATTGCACTTGCGCACCGCTTCCATGAATTGCGAATTGGCGTGGCGGGGTCGTGACGTATGCGGGGCACATCCGTTTTCCTTTACTTTCTTGGTCCCGTTCGGCCAGTCCGTTTTTCTTATTTGGGTACTCTTTGTTTTTCCATTTTCACGGAGCCATCTACGGGACCTAGTGGGGACATTCGTCAACGCAGTCTTACTGCCGTCTCACCGTGCAATCCGGGGTGCCTACGTGTTCTTGCGTGCGTGCCTCACTTCCTGGATTCATCGCGTTGTCCCGTCGGAAAAGAATTCACTTGTGTCATGGGGCGCAAATTGTGTACTCTGCCACTTAGTCTGATGGTCCAAGACTGCGGACCTCAGGTCTGAAAAGGCGAGCGCGCCGGTTGCGGTGGCACCTCCCAGCACTTGCGAGCCAGGAGAGGCCGCTGACCCCCTGGCGTCCTTGCGGGTTGCTATTGCGTTTTGCTGTGGTCTCTTTGCCATGGAGAAGAATGGGCAGGAAGACGTATCGTATAGAAACGCGTAGGTTTGGTCATTTCACGGACAGAGCAGATGAGAGAGCCTCCAAGAGTCCCAGCACTCGGAGAAGGGGTATTATCCTTGGGGCCATGATGATGGTACAGTAAATGGGTACAAGATGGTACAAAGCCGTCAGAGGGACTCGAATGGCCCCCTCTGGCTGAAAGCCGCCAGTCGTCGTCTGTTCTTTAGTCGAGCTCCTCGGCCCCCTGAATGTCCATCTCTTGGACCTTCCAGGATCCGTCAACCCAAGCTCTCTTCTCGCCGAGGAAAGCCACCCGCTCCTCCTCCTTCTTGAGGCCGTCGACGAGGTACTTCTGCGCCACGGCGCGCACCTGCTCCTTCGTCACGTCGAGCAGCTGCTCGCGGCGCGTCTGCTTCATCTCGTCGGTGATGCCAGACAGGAAACGGCCCATGCCCTCCTCGTTGACCGAGCGGGGCGCGTCCACGCTCTGGAAGATGGACAGTTTGGCCTCCTCGAGATCCCTGTCGGCCCACGACTTGTCGACCGCCCACTGCCCGGCGCCACGCATGATGGAGAGCGTGTTTTGCGGGTTGGGGTCGCGGTATGAGTAAAAGCCGAAGAGGCCGTCGAGGGCGCGCGAGTACGCTCCACCGCCGTACGCGCCGCCCTTTTCGCGAATCTCGTGATGGAGGTGCTTGTGGGTAAGCAGCTGTGCCAGCACCTGCAGCGGCGCACCCTCGGCCGAAGTGTACGAGGTGGTGGGCAGGGCGAGCGAGCCATAGTACACCTGGTAAGGCAGGGGGTAGAACGACTTGGCATCCCGGGCAAAGCTTGTTGGCTGCGTTGCCGGCAGGGACACGGTGCTCTGGGGCACGGACGACAAGAACTTGCCCAGGGCCGACGTGTTGGCTCCCACGCTCTCGGAGCCGCAGGTCAGAGCGGTGCGCATGTTTCCGCCGGCTAGAGCAAGCTGCTGGATCTTCTTGAGCTTGTCGATCACATCAACCAGCCCATCCGACTCGGGCCGGTTGGCCAGCGAAGTAACAAGCTTCACCTGGGAGAGGCCGCCAATCTGCTGCCGGAGCCAAGCGTTACGCGTCAGACCGGATTCGGCAACCCCACGCGCGAATTGGTGACCGGACGAGGCGATGTCATTCACGACACCGTCTGCCGAAGCTTGTAGGAGTTGCCTGATCCTTTGACCGGCCTCGGGGCTGTCAAAGTCGGTTTCCTGGATCAGCTTACGCAGAAGATCGAACATGGCAGGGACATTTCGGTCCAGTGCCATGCCTGCGAAGATGAAGCCCTCGGTAGCGTGCTGGAAGTCGGTAGGCGAAGGGGTGGAGTGGTAGCCGACCGACATGCCGCCAGTCTTGAGCTTCATCAGGTCTTCCAGCTGCTCCATAGACGTGTCCTTGGTGCCCAAACGCATGATGCTGTCCGTGAACAGGGGAATCAGCTCTCTCAGCTCGTTGGGGAGGTTTTCGATCGTGTTGACGGCGCGGAAGTAGGTGAGGCCGTTGGTCGGGGCCTCGTGCCACTGCGTCTTGACGCCATTGGTGCTGTCATCGCGCACCACGACCGGCTCCTTGCTCCTAGGGATGTCCTTGACGTGGACGGTGGGCAGGCAGGAGAGGTCCTCAGTATTCGACTTGCCCTGCTCGACAAGCAGCTCCAGCTCGCGCTCTTCGAACTGCTTACGGGCTTCGGCCTCGCCTCCTGCCTTCTTCGTCGCTTCCTCAATTTTTGAGGCCAGCCTCGTCTTCTCCTCGGCAGCGAGGTCTTCGCTGAAAGTAGCTGAAGGCGTCATGGTGAATGTCAAGGTGTTGTCATTCAACAAATACTTGTCGATCAGCCTCTCAAGGTAGTCGCCTTCAGCCAGTCGGGCCTCGAATGCTGAGATGGTGTCACTCCAGGCGAGCGAATCGAAGGGATCGACTCCGGTGAACCACTTGGGCTTAAGCCTGTGGAGCAGAGACATGCCAAAGTTGGCAGTCTTGTGCTTGAGTGCCAACTCGAGCTGGTGCAGAGAGCCGTCAATTTTGGTGCGGTCGAACCCGTTCTGGCGGGCCTCCTTGAGGATACGCTGAATCTCATCTTTCAACTTGGGGACGTCGGCCTCCTGAACGCCTGTCAAACCAACAGAGTAGATGCCCAGCTTGCCAGAACCATCATAGCCAGCGTTGGGGCTAAAGTCGGTTCCGAGACCCGATTCGATCAAGCCCCTGTAAAGAGGAGAACCGTAGCCGTCCATGAGCAAGGTTGAGAGGAGCGACAGCGAGAATGTCTCAACGACGTCCGAAGTCTCTCCCATAACCCAGGAAACGGACGTCTTGAACTGCTTGTCCGCGGCAACTAGGGGATCCAGGGGTCCCTCGACAATGTGCTCCTGCGGCCCGTTGCTGAGATCGATAGGGCTGTGAACAAGCGTGTCCTCGGCGATCCGGTCGAACACCTTCAAGCGCGCGTCAACCTCTTGCAAATGGTCAGCCAGAGGCATGTCGCCGTAGGTGAAGAGCTTGGCGTTGCTGGGATGGTAGTGCTGCGCATGGTATGACGATAGCTGCTCGTACGTCAGGTCGGTGATCTTCTGCGGGTCGCCACCGGAGTTGTTAATGTCGGGGAATATCCTGTCCTGGAAACGGATGTAGAACAGATACCCGGCATCGGACATCTGACCCTTCATCTCGTTGTAGACAACGCCCTTGAAGACGAGCTTGCTGTCCTCGGGCGTGGCCTCAGCAGTTTGCATCGCCTGTGGATTCTCGGGCCCTATTCTCCAGCCTTCCTGGGTAAAGTCGGTCTTTTTCAGAAGCGGGTGGAGCGTGGCGTCCATGTAGACAGACATGAGGTTCTTGAAGTCTTGCGCGTTTGTCGTCGAATACGGGTAGAATGTATGGTCGGATGCGGTGAAGGCGTTCATGAAGTTGGAAAGAGTTCGCGGAAGCATCTTGAAGAACGGATCGCGGATGGGGTATCTAGTCAGTGTCAGCTTGGGAGACTCGGAGGATTCTCTAAAGCTCTCGAAAAACGTACTTCTGGCTACCACAGAGCGTTGTGTGCTCGAGGATGTGAGGCACACCAGTGTCGTCCGGCGGGTTCGTCTTGAAGCCGATGGAGAAGACATTGTTGCTGTCGTCTCGGGCGATGTGGAGGTAATCGGCGCCAGTCTTGTCGTGCTGCAGGTGCAGGGCCGTCAGCTTCAGCTCAGGCACATGCTTGGACCGCAGCAAGGTGAAGCCGTGAAGCTTCTCGCCGGCCTTGGGGTACTGTGCGAGCTCGGTGACAGCTGCGCGAGCTGTGCTAGCAACGCTAGCCGCGTTCTTGGCCGTGTTGCGCAGCATGGTGATGGTGCGTATGTGGGAAGGATGGAGAGATCTCAAACACGCAGTGGCAGCATGGTTCTCCAGACAGAACGATATGGTGTGACAGGGGTTCTAGTGCACAGGGCGAGGATGAATCATCCAGACTTCGGACCTTCGGGCGGTTTCTTCGATGGCAACCGACAGGCCCTGAGCCACAGTGGAGCCTCGTAGGAGGCAATTCCCAAATTTTCTCTGGCAGTTGGACGGAAAAGGTCCACTCCAACACATAATGCCGTGCATTCATTCGTCATCGGGAGGCCAGGGCGAGGATGCTTTGATGCAATGCACAAGCCACTTGTTCTTCTATCGGGCTACTAGTCCCTGGCCAACGCATTATCGGGTCTCTCCCCCATCTGCCTGGCCCGACCCATGCTCGAGGAGCCAATGTGAGGCCTCGTTCGGATTCAATGACCCAAGGACAAGACGTGCTACGACCTCCGTAATCCCCAGCCCACCGGGTCATCATTGCTTAAGCCGATAATTTCTGGATCGAGTCCTCACCATCCGCAGCCATTCATCGTCAATCTCCTCTTCCTTCGTGTTGGCCCTCACCCAGATCGCGACAGGACGGGACCAAAGACATGCGGGACCCCTAGACCGGAACATAATTCTTGAAGGAATCAATAAGGACACCTTGGAACAGAGCCCAACGTAATAACCCATCCCCCCCTCCCGAAGCAGCACACATCCACTCCCGTGTGGGCGTTGCTTTTGCATTGCATTCCATTTCTAATGCGAATGCCCTTCCCCTAGTCGACAACGCACCCCCAGCCTGACTCAGGCCTATCCGGACGACGACAGCCTCAGAAAAACCCACCGCTGGGACTCTCCCCGACCATCGTTCGCAATTCCACTCGCTCTTGCGAACGAAACCGAACGGCCAGATCCGCGCGACGTCTGCACTGCTGACAATTCAGCCTCCCCACCCTCGTCGCTGGACGCATGCAGGACCCGCCCTCGTGACCACGACGTCCGTCGCTCGATCACACACACACTCGCTCTCGCCCCCTCAGCGATGCCAGCTAGCTCGCCTGATACGACTTTGCCAAACGGGCAAGACGGAGCTATCCCGCCAGGTGTCGCCGGCTACGCGAGGAAGACAAAGGCCAAGAAACCCGTAGACATGAACGCGTCGAAGCTGCTCAAGCATCGCATTGCGCAGCTGGAGCAGGATGCTGCTGGTGAAAAGGATCAGGAGGCCGAGATTGGTGAGTTGCATCCCGTGTCTTCTGTTTTTTTTTTTGGAACGTGGCCGGCATCTTGGCTGGTGGGCGCTGTCGGACGCCGGGGAGGACTCACGTGGCTGACGGTGCCATCACAGAGCGCGAGGTCAAGAAGGCAAGCCGGGAGATGATGCAACAGGTATCCAAGATGACCGACATGGCCAAAATTGAGCACCTCACGCGCAAATCCAGCGAACTCCTGGCCGATATGCGACGCATGGAGCGGGAGAATCAGAAGAACAAGAAACGGGGCGACGCTCTTCAAAAGGAGAAGGATGCGAACCGCACCGAGCTCAGCAAGACGGTTGGCCTCAAGGACAAGCTGGAGAAGTTGTGTCGTGAGCTGCAGAAGGACAACAACAAGTACAAGGTGCGCAGCCTGCAGGGATTCAGGATGATGGCCACGAACTACGCAGGGACTAACCGAGGCAGAACGACAACAAAACCTTCCAGGACAACCTCAAGCACAATAGCGCATCCTACGATGAGAAGTATTCGATATTACTGTCCAAACTCGAGGGCATACAGGAAGAAAAAGACCATCCCCGCAAGCAGGTTGTAGAGATTGGCGTCGAGACGCTGTTCAGGAACCGTTTCAAGTCCTTTATTGAGCAGTACGAGCTCCGGGAGCTGCACTTCCACTCGCAGATGCGCACCAAAGAGCTCGAGGTGCAATACCACATGGCACGGTACGAGCGCGAGAAGAAGAACGCGGAAGCCGAAGCTGCCAAGGCGCGCCAACTCCAGGAGCAGGTCCGGACCTTCACCAAGACGGAGACGGAACTGAGGAATCAACTCAACGTCTACGTGGACAAGTTTAAGCAGGTATGTGTGGAGGGTTTGCGAGTCCCTCGGCCCAGATCCCCCCAGGCTAATCGGCCAAGGTTGAGGACACACTCAACAACAGTAACGATCTATTTCTCACGTTTCGGAAGGAAATGGAGGAGATGTCCAAGAAGACGAAGCGGCTGGAGAAGGAGAACGAGACGATGAAGCGCAAACACGAGGCGACGAATGCCAACATCATCTCCATGGCGGAGGAGCGCGAGGCCATGCGGACCAGGACGGCCGAAGCAACCAAGAAGACGGGCAAACTTATCAGCATCATTGAGCAGATGCAGCAGCAAGGCCGCAAAGTGCCTCCGGGCATGGCGGCCACGCTGGAGAGCTGCTACTCGGATAGCAACGGGCACGTGGATGGAGACGGAAGCGACTACTCTGACGAGGGCGACGACGACGAGCAAAGCGAAGAATTCGACGACGACACGGAGGAAGAGCCGCAGGCCGCCGATGATGTGCCACCACGCCCCTATGGCCCTGAACGTCCACCCGTATCGGCCCCTCAAGCCGCGACAAACGGACACTAGGAGGAGTCTGCACGCCGCGCTTCAGGGGCTAGCATCAAGACGGCACCAGTATCGCCCGCCGAGCTTGTCGACACTTGCGAGAGCAAGTTGGATGTGCCACGGGGCGATACGTCGGCAGTTGTGGGCCTCGACGCGAGCAGCCGGTCTCACTCGATGCCAGAAATGGCGGTCGGGGATCGCGAGGTGGCCAATAGTATCCAGCACCCAAGCACAAGCAGAACGATGCCAGGCTCCTATCAGTTCAACGGCGTCGGCTTCGGCGTCACAGGCACGCTGGAGGACCACGACTCTCCGGAGAGGCGGCGAACACGGCTGCTATCCCGCCTCACGCGGTTCACGCGATGGGCGCTGTAGCACACCTTTTTGCTGCAGCCATTTTCGGCGGCCCCGGTCGTGGTCAGGCCGGCTTGTCATCTCGGGCTAGGTCTTGCTGCCGCTTTCGCTTCTCGTGGCACACGAGCCGCGCAGGCTGAGGCGTGATCTCGGGCGAGGAAAAGTGCGGCCTGGATACCGGGCTGTCCCTGTGTTGTTTAAGATCTCTCTGCTCTGAACAGCGATAGTGTAGTGCTAGCGGGAATGTCTACAGTATTGCTTCTGATGCGTGATCGTGAGGAATTTGCAGTCAGCGCTGACGGCAGCACGACGAACAAGTAGAATTGAGTTCGACACTCTATGTTTGTAGAGTCAAGCACGGATCATGGTGGATGACTCGGATCGCGTCAAAGTGACTGAGAATCGCAGTGTTCCAACCAACGAATGGCGCTGCGACGTTGGATCGAGAGGTGGGGGAAGAGCATCTCTGCATCTGTACTATGGACGGCAGCTGCAGGGTCGAGAGCTCTTCCCACTTTGATGGTGGAACGGGCGGCAGGCGGCTGGGGAATGTTGGGGGGGGGAAGGCCCCGCCCGCCTAAACGCCAACCACCCGCCGAGTGCTCTTACCTTGGCTTGCCGCTTGACCTTGCCTGGAATCATCTTCTCAGGTTCCGTCTCAGACGCATACACGACAAGACCAGGCTCCCGTCAGCATCAGCTCTCCAATTCCTCCCCAAGCCAATGTCTCGTCCATCCGATCCCGTATCACACTCCGCGCATGGCCATTGAGCCGGCATAGGCCACGGCCTCGCACCCTCCTCGCCTCGTCACGATTTTTGAGCAACTCGGCTTGGGACTGCGACGGCTGCCCGATGCGAATAGGTGACCTGAAGGGAGCTAGCGACGTCATTCAACTGCCACCCTCCCTTCACACGCTCTCGATCTACCATCCCCTCTACACATAACAATCATCCTCCCCGCGGGTGACCGCCACAATGGACTTTCTCGAAGACCCCCGATTGCGCCAGCGCTGGAACCAAATCTCCCACACGACAGGCGAAGTCACCGAGAACGCAGCTGCTGGCATCTGGTCCTTCCAGCACCACTATCTCAACCCGTGCCTCGCCTCCCTCGGCAACGCCATCGATGCCTGCGCCGCCCCTTGCCTCGGTGACCTTGAGGAGCGCGCTCGCCGGCGTCGCGAGGCTGACCGCCGCGCCGCCGAATACAGTTTTGACTTTTACGACGACTGGTACGCCGACGACGGGCTGCCGGGCAACAGTGGCGATGACTCTACCGCGCTGGGAGGCGCTGGCGCCGGTGACGGAGGCTGGAGCATCGCCGACTGGGACCGGCTGCTGGCGGGCACAGGGGCCCAGAGACGGCACGGCGGTGCCGACGGCGAAGGGGTGCAGCAGGAGCAGCCGAAGCGGAAGAGGGGCATGAGCTACGGCACACGTGGTGCTGGGCGGCGCAAGGCGAGCGGCGAGCTGGATCCGACCATTATACCGAGCACACAGCCGATAGGCTTCCTGAGCAAGCTGCCGTGGAAGTTGGGCAAGACGCTACGATACAAGCCCAGCGCGGCGGATCTGCAAGACCATCCCGGGCAGCACGAAGCGTTGGGCATGGGTGAGGCTGAGCCGTTGCTGGACGAGGGCAGTGAAGGGTCAGAATATGACGGGCAGGCGTATCAGCCTGAACGGACTGTCGCTGCCGGTAGGAAACGCAGCGGAACGACGGGGTCGGGCGACACATCAGACTCGTACCGTTCAAGAGGAGACCTGTTCCCGAGCGATGGCGAAGGCGAGGAGGACGCTGTGCCGTTGGACGACGAGTTTTCAATGGTCCTATCCCGCGTCAATACAGGCGATGATCGCAGCAGCGGCAAGACGAGACGAAGCAGCAAAGGCAAGAGGCCCGTCAGCGGCATGTCACGAACCGTGTCTCGCGCAACCATTGACTCGATTCGCACGCGAGCAAGTACGCCTGGACCGCGACACAGCTCGGGGAGTACACCAGTGACCCCGGAGTTGAACCGCGTGCAGTCGATGGAGGATTTACAACGAGAAGA